ACAAATAAATATTTGTCCAAAAATAACAAGAAACCACAAGTTTTTACCTCGGACCGTTTTTAATCCCATTTGTCAAATCGCCGTTCTACGGATTGCCCCTTTCGACAAGTTTCCCTTCGACGAATTGGCCTGTTCAATAAATGGGTCATCGACAAGTTGGCTGGATCCCGTGCTGGAGATACTCCCCGTGATCAAAGAAAAAGCTTCTTCAATACGAATCGGCAGGCTCTAAGCTCATAAAAAGCTTACATCATTAACAACTTTCAGACCGCCTTCTTGGAACATGCACAGGAACTCAAGTTCACCCATGAGCTCGCTACAAATGGCACCCTAGAGTTTTTAGACCTAAGACTACATTTTCAAGATCTTCATTTGTGCTGAACATACTCCCCGTGATCAAAGAAAAAGCTCTTTCAATATGCATCGGCACACTCTAAGCTCATAAAAAGAGGTATAGCGACCAATTGTTTGAGCGCAGTCTTTGCAAGTCATGCAGCCGCACAGCCGAAGAGAGCTTTTATCCTCAAGTGCAACGACTTTAATCTTTGGGATCTGTATACTGTTGGATGTAGCTGGAAACATGATGAAGTCCAAAGGAAAACTCAGAAGCATGGAAAAGCGACAACGCCCTGCCGTATTGTCACGGGTGGTGACCAAAAAAACAATCACTAAACAGGAAGAAATAAATGTTTAATGTGGCGAACTTGTGCCAAAAATAAAAGGGGTACAAAAGATAATAACAGAGCGTCGCGGGCGTCGAAGTCGGCGAAGCAACAGAGTTGAACTCTGGGGCGAAACTGACTCCGCTCTCCTTGCGGAGCCCCTTATGTACCCTCGTTGGTTTCTGGATTATTCGGCGTAGAACTTTCGGTGCATATAGCAATCGAAACACGATCAGACGAGAATGTTCTTGAACTTACGAGAAGCACAAGTTGAAAGAATAAATAAAAGGACAGTCCGCCTGACTGGAATCGAACCTATACCTTCCACGTGAAAGTCAAGCGCGGTAACCACTGGGCCACGCGTGCGCTTGCTCACCCACGCGCGTGGCAGTATTTCCGTACATCCACAAAAATTCCCCACAACTTAAAGAAACACTGACACCCCCCAAATTTTTTTAAATTCTTTGCCAGGTGATTTACCATGGTGTCAGAAGACTCCCCAATCAATATTTTGCTACAGCATCACGTGTATTTTTAATGAAGTGAAAAAACGCATTTGCTCGCAACCGAAGCCGAAACTGGACGGGAGAGCATTGCTGGAAGTCGCGTGACTGCGCAACATTATTTTTCAATCAATGTATTTGCAGCTTTTTAGAAGCCACAAAAAAATGGGTATCATATTTCTTTTGCTATTTTTAATATTAAAAGACGCTGACACATTAAAATTGTTTTTGTTATTTTCCGAAACGGTTGAAAATGATGCCTGGACATTACTCTAAAAATTCGAAACTTGGAAATTCAGTATTTGTGAAGTAAAAAATAATTTCCAAATTTGAAGTTCCTGCGCGATCCACGCCAGGGCTGTGACGTCAAATATTGAGCTGTTCTGCGAGTCGACTTTCTTTTACGCCTCCGCTCCGAACCGCCGTTGCCACCGCGACCCAAAGTGAGGAAGTGAGGGGGGGAGAGAAGGGCACCAGCGTACCAGGAAAAACCGATTTCCTCCGTGAGTGCTGTGCCGCCTGCCTATCGCTGCGAGCAGATGACGCTTGATGTCTCGCCGCTTTGCGTGAAAGGCTGCCCAGCAGAGTCACAACCAAGACTACGATACACAAACACCAAATTCAGTTGTTTTGACCGTTTGACGATTTCCTTTTCGAAGTCTGAGAGGTCGTCGGGCACCTAAAAAAGACCACTTCATCCGATACCCCAACTCATTGATCAGCCATGTTTTCTGAGGGAGGATAAAAATCCAGGAGGCGACGTCAGAACGAACTTTGATTTTTGGTATTTCAAAAAGAAGGGTTGTAGTGCAGTCTCAATTGCATTAAAAAACATGTTTTGCGATTGCCGTTATTAAATGTTATAGAAATGTCATCTACAAAGCTTCTAAATTTCATGATATTTGATATCTCAAATCAAAAGAAGCGACGAGGTGAGGAGCGAAAGAGAAGGACACCAAAAATAAAAAAAAGCACGCACGCATGCCGTATGACTACAACTTGCATCGTTTTAGACAGAAAAAAAGAAATACCACCTTTGGGGTGTCAGTGCCCCTTTAAATGAACGCCTCCAATGACCCATGACTTTAACTATCTTTGGTGGTCGTGTCTACACCATAGAATACGGCACGTGACCACAGAGAAGAGGGTGAGCACGATTCAAACCAGCCAGTTCTCAATCGGTGGTTTTGGGGTGGAAAGAAAACGAATTTCGAGCCGCAATTTGTGTTCTGGGTAGTAGTGCTTTCACATGTCATGTACAAATAAAAACCTTGGCGAGCTTAAATACCCTGTCAGTATCCCTTCAAACAGGTGATGCAAAGATTTTTGTACTTTGCGCAAATACCGCTTACAACGGATCCCTGACGTTAATGACTTGTGAAACACTTTGTTTTCCACCACACACAGTCGAAGTCGCAGAAAAAATAAAAGAAAATGAGCAGCATTCACCCCCTCAACTCACAGCCAGAACAAGCGGCCACGTGATCTGGAGCCGGTTATATGCCGCCAGTGTTGATCATAGCCACGCGCTGGGGTTGGCAAGGCACAGGAGACGCGCTGAGTTCCAGATATTGTTATGGTTCGGCTATTGTCAGCATTGCCGCAATTGGACACGGGTCACTACCCGAATGCTTCTCGAGTTATCGATTATCACGAGCCCAAATCGGGTGCCCACCCAATGCTCGGGTCCAACCTATGAGCCGCATTCAAATATCGTCACTGGGAGCTGTACGTCATCAAGTTTTTGATGAGGAGATGGCTTTTTTTCTCTCCAACTCTCCAACGGCGAAAACTGTGTTAGTGCACCTTTGATGACCCTGTTGGCGAAGGAACTATAGGACAGTTAGGTACATGTGGCGGAGCGCTTTGGATGGAGTCGACTTAAGAACTGTGTGTGTCTGTCCCTCGCATATTGTCTGTGTTTTTATTCTTTCTGGGTGAACTGAGCTATAGTACAGTATTTGAGCCTTGCTTCCTGAGACTTGTCAATAGAAATGTCCTTCTTTTCTATTCATTGTTTACAAACAAAAGAAAAGAAAGAAGAACTTCGATGGCCCTTTTTTTTATCTGTTACTTTTTTCTTTTCCATTTTTTTTTAATCCTTAGTGAAAGCAAGGTACTTATTTATGTGCATAACTCTTTCTTTTAATATAAGCTTACAAATAATTTTCCTATTTTGATGTATACTATTTTATTTATTTTTTTAATTTTTATTCTTCTATCTACTACTGTGGACTTTGTCTTCCTTTCCTAGATATTAAAAAGTTGGTTGTTAGTAGCGCTCTTTCCTGCCCCTGTCTTCTTCTTACCGTGTTCTTGCGATACTTTTCGTTTACTATGTTTAACCAACTAGCCCATCAATTAAGGGCATTTCAAGGCAGCTACTTGTTCAGACGTTTTTCATATAACAAGGATCGTTATAAACCAGTTGCTTTAACTGTAACTACAGGCCAGTGTTGGGTAAAGTACATCTAAAAAGTACTTGAAGCACAAAGTAAGTGAAGGTTATGTACTTCAAGTAAACTAGTAGGTACACCGGGCACAATGTACTTGAAGTACTATAAATACAATGTACTTTCAAACTAAAGTCAAGTACTTTGTAACAGAATCTTTTATGCTGCCCTTTCGTTCCATAATCAGTAATCAGGAATTTTTGGAAATGGTGCCGAATATTGGATAAAGTCAGGTAGCCACAGTGTGGTTGCTTTACTTTTGCTGACAAACTATTTTAACTCAATCAATTGATAGGGTACTTATTTGTATTGATCTTATAGCCACCATTACTTTACTCGGAGAAATGACCAGATAAGCGATGCGTTGTCGGCTAGGGTTTCTGGTGAGAGTAGAGTATCCCTCCACGTATTGCTTCAGGGTGAGAAAGCATCATTTTGTGATACAAAATTAACAAGGTCAGATTTATAGAATGTACTTTGAAGTCAGAAGTTGTACTCTCCTTGGAAAGTACCAGAAACAGTGAAGTACACATACACGGAGAATGAAGTTTAAGTAAAGTGCAAATTTTCTAATCCTACTTAAAGTAGTACTTTAACTACAACTTACTTAAAGTACTTGCCAACACTGCTACAGGCTAATGTGGTTAAAGGGAAGCTGAAGCACTTCTTCAAAAAAACAAGTTAGAGCTGAATTCTGACATATTTTTATCCCGTGAATCTGAATATCACGTTTGTTTTGCCCGAAGATGTAACAAGATGCGAGAAAACACAAAAAACCTCCGACCAGTCGTGACGTCATACTAAGATCTTTGGGCCACCAAGCGCGTGTCGTTGTGGGCAGTGCACACAATTGCGAGCTTGCCAGGTATATTTTTCTGCGTTGACACCGGTCAGCGCGGAATCTCCGCTTGCGCTGACTGGTGTCAGCACGAGCGGAGATTCCAAAAACTCTTAATGTGACGTCACAACCCGGGAAGGAGAAGCTTTGCGGTACTTTGAAAATTAATTTCTCCAGCCTCCGTGCACCAAATTTAAAAACAATCTCAATATCCGTGATCCTGGAGGCCATGGGAAGACGATTTAGGCGTTTTTTCTCGCATACGGAACCGCTTGTTTTCCTTTAAGAATAAAGCTGTGTTTGTAGGTGCATTAGACCTACCCGTCATTTTCCTTTATGTTAAACCTATCGAGTCGACTCCTTTAGCGCAATGTTTAGATGTTAGTCGTATATGTTTGATCAATTACCCTAGAAAAAGCTTCTGGGTAAACATGAGCCTGGGTAAACTTGAGCAAAGGAATCGCACGCTAGCTTTTGGCAGCTTCAAGAGTGTACTCTGTGATCTACTGATGTAATTTGATCGCCGCGCCGGCACTACTTCCAGGTGTTGACCCTCACCTTATGGGTTCCCCCCCAGTTCCCGTCTGCTGGCACGCATCTCGCCTCAGCTGAAGCGGAAGGTCAGTGTGGCTCTAAATTTTCTGGGTGGAGATGTCGGGAAACTGCCTCGGCCACATAGCACACAGTTGTGGTGGCACTCCCAATGCAGTCCATTGCTCCCAGGGGTTGACGCCCTTCCCAAGGTTTTTCTTTTCTTTTAAAACGGGTATTTCTAGCATGTACAAAAGTCAGGGAATTGTCAGAAAGGCGCCTAAGTCAGGAGAAATGTTCCAGTGAAAGTGAGGCAGCTGTGCACAACCAAGATCAATGGTGTATGTAAGCGGTTATGTCGAGTAACATTGTCCAAAACATCACTAGGTAGCTCAAGCCGCCAACCGATAGAATGGGAAGAATCGCTGTAACTGTGATGGCATGATTCGGCGAAGCTGGCAGCCTCGAAGGGCTGACGTCGTGGAGAGAGCTTTCAGGAATTCTCAGCAGAGGAGGGGGGAGGAAAAATGCAAAAATTGTTTTCGCAGTTAATACATTTTTACCGCATTCTCTCTTAAAATTTTGTCATTTTTGAAACATGCTTGTTGTAGCTGCTGTTATGGCACGTTTGCACCACAAATTTTAATTTTCATGTCCCTTTAACCAGACGGGCAAATATTCTGCTTCTCGAATATTCAATGGAATTATTATATACTCGCTTAGACTTGAATTTATGTATTCGAAAATATTGAATTACTGGGTCCAGCCAAGTAATCGGGTGTGGGTACCACCGCTCACTAGCGCTCCTCTGGATAGGTGGCTCAAGCTGCTGCCTGCTTCAATGGGCTGCATCGCTTTAGCTATCGCTGCTAGAATGCATTGGGCAAACGAGAAAACGGAAGTTCTGGTGCAATTTTGCGCCCAGAACTATAAGTGACCAGTGATGATGATGTTTTCTTGTATGAAGAGGCATCACGGCAAGTACAGAGCTAACTCAGTTCAGGACCGACGTTACTAAATCTGGGTCGAGAAAGCCTATCGCATTTATCTGCAGCTACTGTGTTTAGACCTAAAGTGACACCAGTGGTGCCGAAGGCCAAGGAAATGACAAAAAGATTGCCACTGCACGATTCTAGTGTGCCTGTCTTTGCATTGCAAAATGCAAGTTCTTGAAGTTCCATTTCTGACATTTTTTTGCCACGAAGATAAAATAAAGGTGCATATTCAAAGAACTTCTAGGCGGGGACGATGATGCACGGTTAGATAAAAAACTGTGGTTCTGATGAAACTAATAAAAATTGTATCTTATCTGGCCAGTTCATATCAAATTTTAATTGAAATTGATAGCATGTTTAACTTTCAATCTTGTAACTAATATTAGTAAAGTATAATCGCCTGAATCGGCAAAGGAAGTTAAAATAGTATTAAGTGTGAGTAATTATTGAAATAGGCGTTTTTACTATCCTTTTAACACCAGATTTAGCCACAGGTATTTACATGATGTCACATTTCTTGTTTCTAATATAGTATACATACCTTGCAAAGGTGGCATGCGATACATCTAGTGTTCGGCAATTATCAGTATACACTTTGAATTTGATTCGACCCTAAAATCCTTCCTATTTGCCCAGGCCTACCTTTAACCTATTCCCTTTTTGGTGTCTGTGTTTGAGTGAATCTCTGGGCTCTGCTCGATGGCTATAGTATGACTGAAGGAAGTTAGGAATACTGAAGTTTGTTGTTCTTTTGAACCCTTTGGAGTGTTTGTTGTTTTATGAAGATATTTCTGGCTTCAGGCTTGATGACCGAAAATGGCAGCCACGGATGCAGTAGTGTGCGTCAGAGACGACTCGTCTTCGTCGAGCGAAGTAGAGGTCCTGCGTGCCAACCTGCGTGATGAACGTGCGGCTTGCGTGTGGGTGGAGCAGTATGGCTTGCGCACCAACACATCGTGGATTGTAGATTCTGTCAAGTCGACAAAGCAATGTCAAAGGTAACGCAATCTCGGTATATTTAGGTCGCCATGTATATCGGCAGGATCCTTTGTTTTCGAGTTTCTTATTTGTAGTGGTTCCACTCCTTGTTTGCGCCAAAAGTCATTTCCTGCGCCATCCTGATAAAAATCCATGATATTGCACCAGAGTGCTCTAAAACTAGATGACTAGATATAGACCACGTGCTAAATCCCCAAGCGCCCCAGCCCACACTCGAGGAACCGTGGGAACAATGTTCTTTTAGCTGCCTAGTGATCCGTAATTTCGACCAATTCGATGGTTACACACTTTGTGAGTGTAATCCAGAGTCATTCTAAATAAGCGTCGTGTAGACTCCAAAGACCTGTCACATCACTTTTAAAAATTCTCATCAATGTCAGCCTTTTTGATACTGTGCATGCAATCCACCTTTCAACCTGGCTGACCTGCAGAATTCTCTTGCAGTATCATCATTTTTGTGATTGTTGTTTTAGCAGGAATTGCTTGAAAAGCCGAGAATTCACAACCAAAACCAGGATTTAGCGTGGAGTCAGCAGGGCTGTTTATAGCATTTTTAGTGTTTCTAAGTTAATATCAGCGTCTTTGATGCTGTACGACAGTGGTTCTCAAATAGGGGTCCGCGGACCCTCTGGGACCCGCGAAGGCTTTCTAGGGGTCCGCGAAGCATCGCCTCATCAGTCAAGCTCGGCAATAAAAGTCATACTTTTTTCAGATTGAGAAGAAATATTCCAATCTTCGGGTTAGTTTTCTGGTGTGTATGTCAATGAGAGAAGTCTACTTCAAACTAGCCCCTAGTTATATTTATTTATTAAATATTTATCGACATTTACGCATACATTTTCTCTCCTCTCATCACGGACGGGGTCCCCCATCATCTCCGCCGATCTACAAGGGGTCCGCGAAACATCAATGGTTGAGAACCACTGCTGTACGAGAATGATAATATTGTAAGAAATTGCTGCGGCTCGGCAAGATTTGAAGGGTTGATGGCCTGCACAGTATCAAAAACACTGACATTGACGAGAACTTTTAAAAGTGGTAATGACAGGTTTTTGCACTCTATACAACGCTTATTCAGGATGACTCCGGATTACACTCAAAAGTGTGAAAGCATCGAATTGGTCGAAATTACCGACGACTAAGGAATTAAAGGAACACCACTCCCATGATTCCTTGATTGTGGGCCAGGGCGCTTGGGGGATTCAGCAAATGGTCTATTGGGAGCATCTTCTGCCACCTATAATCGCCAGGGGCAGCCTCGCCTACAGCAAAACTTAAGCATAGTGGCTGTTCGATCAACCTGTAGTGGCACATATTTATTCAAATGGACGCACACTTCTCTTTGTAATTGTTTTGTTTGTAGCTTATGGGTCAATCTTGCCAGTGAGTAAAATTATCGAAACTAACCAAAATGCTCCGCTGCGCCTGCCGCTCCTCCCTTCACACCGGTGCGATGCGGTGAAGCTTGGCACTTGCGCTACTGCAAAAAGATGTGCCTAACCCGACAGTGCTGGTGCATAGCGGCGCAATTTGATGCACGCGGTTAGTTTGTCAGTTATTTTTTTATACTGGTGTCGACTCATATTTGAGCACACACGGTGAACTCGTCACGGGTGGCACTTGTGCTTCTCGGGGACTCATGAACATGGGGCTGGATTGCAAGTATACAGGAGAAAGAAATTTGGCAAGGGGCTGTTTGTTGAGGCAAAAGCGGATCTTGTTGAAAATATGAGAAAGTAGGCAGGTGAAGACAGCTAGAGGTGCTTAAAACAAGATTTTGGTAGATCTCGTGTTTGAAGTCAACAAGGTATAACACATCATATGAACATGTTTGCTATTTACTTTTTTTAACATGACAACTATACAGTTGAGTACTCCATCACATGTGACTGTCCATGTATACTTAACAATGCCGGTTTTTATACTAGAGTGGAAAGAGTTCTAGTACAAGGTTTGCCCGCCTAAATTTTTCTAAGCTAAGTTTAGGTGCTCTGAAGTGCTTTCAGTTTGATATTAGGTGGTCCGAAGTGCTCAAAATTTCACATTTAGGTGCTTCAAAGTGCTCCAAAAATGCATGTTTTGGTGCTTCAAATTGCTTCAAAATGCATATTTGAGTGCTTCAAATCACTATTTGATGGTTACATCACTGTATTTGTCGAACATCGGGGAGTAATTTAACTTTTTCTGATAACCATTCAAAAAAAATTTTTTTCTCTTTTTTTTGGGGGGGGGGAGGGGGGTTCTATGTAATAAAATTATTTATTCTAAGTATTATTTTAAAAAAAAGAGCAGGCTTCGGTAATTTTTTGTAGTAGCAGGCAAAATTGCTCTAAGTTAAACTCGGAGTAGGCCGCCGGTTGCCAACCCGACATAGAGCTTTGGTATGAGTGCATGCGTTTTTTATTTAGACCAATGAAATTAAACGAAGGACAGATACTATCTAGAAATATATTCTTTGAGCTTATGCAATATCTTTTTATTTCTAGCAAATTCTCGTTTACATACACGTGATTATCTGCATTCGGAGCATCTCCGTATTCGTCCTAGGCCTGTCCAATTTTTGGACATTTAAGAAACTACTGACACGACCAATGTTGTTTTTTTTTCACCTTGTATGACTGCAAATTGTACTTAGAAATGGTCCTCGAACTTTCAAGCTTGGTAAATGTGTATGTGCATCAGTGACAGTCCGAACCACGTTCGGGCAGTCGCTGACTTCCCCAATTACCGGCGAGCATCTCAATGATGTGAGAATAATAAGCTAGGAGACGGCCGGGACATTGTCACCAGTACTTCCAGGCTCTCATGTTTTTATATTTCTAAATCAATGGCCTAGTGTGCTCGCAATCATTGTGAAAAACATACTTCATGAGTGTCATTAATAGGTGTTATAGAAATGTAACTTGCAAAGCCTCGAAAATGCTTCCGCTTTACACGCCACTGCAAAAACGAAGCGAGGGGGAGAGTGGCGGGAAGGAAGGCGCTGATCTTTGATAAGTGCGTCCATGCGCTACAAAGATTTTTTTTGCATTTTGCATCTTCTTTTTTTTTAAAACTTCCATCCTACACAGCACTGAGTGCTGCATTGGGTAGCATGCGATAGGATTATGCCAATAGATTTATGCCAATAGGTCAATACTTATCTTCTGGGGACCTCCTCTCAGCATATGGGAAACTTTTAAGACCTGGTAATGCTCTTTGGGGGGATTGGGTTATAGACAGGTCAAGAAGCATTATGTTGACATTCTTTTTCGGCCCTCCTTTAAAGTTAGTGGTTAACCGAAAAAAAGAGGGCAAAACATTCTGAGCCTATGGATCTTTGCACTAATTCCTTAAGTAAAGTGACATGTTTTATGTTTGTTTTTTGGCATTGTGATTGCCGATTTTGAGTTTTTCGTATAAATCTGCATACAACAAAATTTTACCGGCAAGATTTTCTAGATATACCACCCCTCCCCCCCACAAAAAAGAAAGAAATCCTGGTTATAGGCTGGCAGCTTACTGTCAGGGTGCCTACCAACCTGTATTCTTTATTGTGTCTATACATATCCTGCTATGGGCTATGTTTGAATTATGTTTCCATGACCTCCGTGCACAGTCACCCATTAGAGTTTGCTTATAAAATCCGGCCCTATGACACATCCTGTGTGAATATTAAAATTGTCTTTAGTCTTCCTTAAAAAGGCACTGCGAAGGAACGAAGAAAACCAAGTGCTGCTCGAAGGGCATGCCTACCAGTGTCGAACATGAGCGTTCAGTGACGACATTGGTCTAGAGCGTCGGATAATGACGACGTAAAATTCTAGAGGCAGGACTGGCTGAATAGATGCACTTGACCCCTTTGGATCCTTTCAAGCGCGTGATTCTCTCTCAATTTTTCGCTTGGAACACCCTTAAATCGGTGGGGCGTTCACATCTTCATAACTGAATGTTAGTTCCAACAATTGGGAAGATTGCGCATACTTGTTGCACGCTCTTGTCGTTTCGGCTCTCTGTTGGTTCAGTCTAAGGATGTCATCAACCATAGAAAATGTGCTAAAAATTCTGAACTTCTTTCTTCTATTATGTTCAAAACACCGTCAGATTTCTTCTTTATTTTTTTTATTTTAAACGTGTTGCTAGAGTCTTACTCAATAGATCGAGCGAACACGGTGCACATTACAAAATAGCCTGAAATGCTTTGCAGGGCCTCTTTCAGAAAAGAAAGCACTATTTTAATGTCCTTTCATGGCACAAGTTCTTGCTGTTTCATGGCACGAGTTCCTGGTACATTAACGTTTGTGAAATCGCAATAATATCAGTTGGTTGTTCTTTTAGGTGGGCCGATAGCGCTTATCTCGAGAGGCTAGGGGATAGGACGCATAGCAGTGGCGGCCACACTGGATTGGTCGGTTACAGGGAGCAATGACGTGAATACCTAGCAACCAAACATCGCCAGTGCTGCGCTGGAAGAAAAGGCATGTGGCTTCCAGCGAGAAGTAGTTTCGAAGTTTCGTGTTCTCGTCAGAAAGCAGCCGTGTAGTTTGGTCGAGCTGGGTTTCGCCAAGAGAAAAGCTTGTTTGGTTGTAGCGTTGCGAAATTTCAAAATTGTAAGTTGATCGTTCTTTTAAGTAGTCCAGCAGCATCCCTTCGCCGGTTTATAACTACGAAGAAAATGTTTGAATTCACAGCTTGTATTTTACGGTATCGTGTTTTGCTGCTATGATGGGGACTCCTACATTTGCAGGATGGTGCTCCATAAGACGTGGTGCTGCAAGCAACACAGGCGCAACAAGTCACCCGCGAAGCCTAGGGTGGACTGTCCGGCCAAGATCGACATAAAGATTAAAACAATAAACCGCCACACGAGGAGGACGGACCCATTGTTCCTTCGACGAGACATTCCGCTGCCTGCAGTGATCAAGCTGCGCCATCACAAGGAGCATTCGCACAGCACAGAGTCTGCGGATGCACTTCGTCGTCTCACTCCCTTGTCGGAGACGAAGAGGACGTTCTTCGGCTATTTCAACGACGGAATGTCTCCAGCCAAAGCCATCAAGCTGCACGAAAGCAAGCTTCTTGCGCGCAAGGAAGGCCTTGCCCTGCTTGCCAACGCCGCCGTGAACCCCTTGCCTTCGGCCGTGTACTATTGGCATAAACTTTGGCGTGAGGGCTACTGTGGCAGGGACGTGGAACCACTCGAGAAGCCTGCGGAGAAGGTGCCCGTGGACGTGCAACCAGGTGAGCATATTATAGGACCCTGTACCGTCCAAGTAGATGGGCCCATTAGAGGAATGATTTGCATACTCGCGCTCATTCACTTTCTTCAAGAGGTTGACACTCACCACTGCAATGTGAAGAAGCTGCATAGTGTCAGGTTGCTGCAAATTGCTTCACACAATTCTTTACAATCCTCCTATCAAAAAAAGCACTGATGTGACAAACTTCTTTCTTGTTTTATTTAACTTAAAGTTCAGGGCACAATTGTGCAACTGCTCGGGATCGGTGGTTCTGTGTGTGCTTTAGGTCACCAGAGCTCGAAGCAATGGAATACTGATAACAAAGTGTACATACCATGTTGCGAAGGTAATCTATACGTCGTTTATTTGAGCTCGATATCACACAAAACAAAGATAGAATCGATGAGAGCCCCTTTTCGACGTCAGCGTTTGTCACCGCTGCTTCGGAAAACAAGGAGATGACAAGAGAAAGAGATTGACCTCTTAATCTAGAATTGAGGTCAGCGATCAAACTACATATAACACGGGAAGGGTTCACAAGGGTCGCGCGGGCATATTCCATTCAGCACGCCAGCCAGTCGTGGGCAGACGGTCTTGGCCAAGGACCGTCGGAGCATCGCTGCACCGAGTCAGAGTGCCTGCTAGGCCTATCTGCCGAGCTCGCTCGGTCGGGGTCCGTGGAATTGTGGCCGTTGGAGCTTTTCCCGGGTGTTTGTGGATCCAGCGTTCTTGTTTGTTCGTCGTGGTGTCTTTCAAGTACTTTTTACTTTTTTCTTGGTGCTTGAAGTCGGGACGCGTGAGAAGCGCACATAGAAAAATAAACGTCCGTTGGTTGTCGCAACCAACTGAGCGAAGCTGTCGGCCATGCTGATTTGATCGTAAGAAGTCCGTAAGACAGCCTGGTAGCTGTTGTAGGATTTCATTGTAACCTGCGCAAAACTTACGAAAATTTTGTTTCGTGAATACGAATTTGTTCTTAAGTTTCGTTTTACGCACATTTTTGGCCCAAGATTGTTTCGTGAATCTGGCCTCTCTTTATTTTGACTCAAAATGGATTCCAGAAGTATCTTGAGATTAATAAAACAACATTATCACAGCGGAACTGTTAAGTGCTAGTTCCTCCAGTCTTGTGTCCAGTACTGAACAAATGTCGACACAAAACTACACAAAACTCTGGAGAGCTAACACCATCTGTGAGCGGCAGCAGCAACCAGACTACCAGTCTGGTTGCCGCCATCACTCATAGATGGCAGCAACCTTTCCAGCTATCATAGAGGAATGGATAGTTGGCCAAGTTAGTGGGAATTCATCGTAGGAAACAGCTTGCAAAACAGATGAAAACGAAGAAGAAACACACGGGACAAGCGTACAGCTTCGCTCGTCCTCCTTCTTCACCAGAGTGGAAAGGCTGAAAGTTTTCTTCAGTTTATTTTAAGCACAACTGCGACGGTAAGAAAAGAGTGTTTAACACAAAGCTAATTTAGATTAACATGCTCATATTAAAACATCAACAAGCATGTTGCTGTATCAGGCACTGGAACATGCATATGTGCTTACACAAATTAGCTCGTTTGACATAGACAGGTGTCTCACAGTTCATACACTCTTGCCGCAAAGCTGTAGCAAGTACTATAAAAATACCGGCTCTAATATCTACCGGACATTGACGCACAAATCTTCAAAGTGTGCACACATGTGCACACACGTGGTGATCAGATGTGATGTCTTATAGCGAGTTTGTTTCACGGCACTCGTGTCCACGCGTGCCCACTCGCAGCGTGGAGCGGGTTCGTTTCAGCCGGCACTCCACAAGTGGTTGCACTCTCCGAGTTCGTTTCAGGGCTGGCACCCCACGCGTGCATGCACTCGCTGCACCGAGGAAATCGGGAGTGCACCAAAATGCAACCCCCGTCATGCCTCGCTCCGGCGAGGAGCGGGAGCAGACGACGGGGGTTCGTTTGCTCCCGCTCCTCGCCAGACGACGAGGGTTCGTCTGCTACGATGTGTCTCGGAACCGAAAGGAAAAAAAGTAGATTTTCTGATAGAAATCGCGTCCCGCGGGCAACGGAATCAAACGTGAGCTTGAATTGTGAGCGTCTGCTATTTCATGGAGGAAGCAATTGACAAACCGTGCTTTATTTGCAGGTTTTAAGTCACTCACCAGTGTGTAAAAATATGCTCAGAACAAACGCATCAGCGGCCCCCCGAGATGTTTATCACCATCCGTGTGCGGATGAAAAATTTAACAAATGTCGATAAAACTCCCCCAGCAGAAACCTACGACTGTCAAATAAGCATCAGAGAAAGCTAAACATAGGGACTTTACCCGAGGCTTGGACAACATCATCATGTTTAACATTTACCTACGTCAGCTAACTTGCCCCGTCATATTTCGTTCGAGAAAGCTCTCGTTCTCGACGCCCTCACCAAGGTTAATATCTGATCCATGTGTAATGACGACTGAAATCGAAAGTCCCACGAAAAGTTTTGCTGGATATTCCAACAGACTAGTTATAAGCCGTACCCTTTCAGTGGTTCACGCATAATACCATGCCTAAACGGATCAAGCTTCTACTCGGACAGCATCATCAGTTTTTGTCAGTGTAAGCGATTATAAAGCATAGTTAAAGAGATTGCAACCAGCTGCTTTGTAGACCGCTGGTTGCGGAAATTTACGCCGTCTGTAACCATCTCTACAACAGCCAAGTTGCTTGAAGTCATCGCAAATATAAACTACAGGTTGCAGCGACCAACGTTTGTAGATAAACGTTGGTAGCCCACTGCACTCTTGCATTCCTACCCATCACTCCGAACAGAAAGGCGCTAGTTTCGGTTTGAGGTTGGTACCTTTTCTACAACATTGATGGTGGCGGCATCAGTCTTCTGCACTCGGTGCATTGGGCGTGTTCGTTTGAGTCCAGTTCTCCGTGCAACACTCTGCGAGTGCGATGCATTCTGGGAGAGAACTCGAACGGTGCCAGTGCGTGTGAAATGAACTTGCTATTAAAATTCTTAGGCCAGCTTCAGACAGGGCAACTTTCTCACCAATATTGGGGTTGCTGGCAAGTTGTTCTCTAGCTTTCCCTAAATCTGCACGCATTGCTGAGATCGGGTTCGGCGCGAAACAAATGAGCAACTCGGAGCAATTCAAAGGCGTTGAAGCGGCAGCAGGCCAATCAGGCACGCATAATTTTCATGTGCAGGGGATGATGACAGCTAAAGGCTTGGTTCTGGTTTGAAATTGGTTGTTTTTGTAACTAAACAGTTTCAGAAAGATGCATTATACTATTCTCAACGACATTTAAATGCACAAAAACATGTTTATAGTGCATAACTGTGTGTCTAAATAGTGCAAGAAAAATAATATTTAATGATGATGATAGCAAATCGGTGCATTCGGTTGCTGCGTGTAATAGCGGGTGGCCCGTGTTGCTGGTGTTCCGACGCCAAGTTGCTGGGAGAAATTGCCCCGTCTGAAGTGGCTCACATGATGCATCTTGTTGCCGAATCTTGTGTTGCGAAACTAGGTTTCAAAAAACCGATTCCCCATGTGACTGCAACCGAACAAGTGGTGCGCCTCCCAAAAAAGTGGCGCATATGCTCCTCGCTTCTTGAGCAATATATTTCTGAAGCCTCACTTGACTTGAACTTAATTTAGCGCTTATGTAGTGCTGTGTTAGTGCTATATCACTAACATTAGCAATTTTCAGTGATGAATGATAGTGTCTCTATAACAACAATATGTTAAACTTCTTGTTTTATGGAAGTAATTGCTAAGCAAAGAGAGAATTACGAAAGTATACTAGCACGTTTGTACTGGTGCAACTGCCAGCCTAAGTCGCTACCATCGGCGCTGGTTCGTTGTACGCTATGCCCCACTATCGACAGTGTTGCCCCTAGCAGCAGCTTATGTCCCAAACTGTGGCAAACGTTTTGTGCCTCTGCTAATAGATTATTGAGCTGAGCATACGGCCAAGAAGGTTGTGTGACATTTGAACTTCTGTTAGCTGCCCTCTTTCTTGTTTTGTAGTAAATATAGTTTCTTGTATTCGTTGTACACGTATGGCCAGTTAAAACCGCGTTCATAATCCACATTATTTCAAAAATTTAATAGCACAATACATTGCCAGAAAAAAAAATTTCATCAGTAACAAATAAAACAATTTAAATGACTATAGACCTTTTACCAAGTTACCTAAGCACCAAAGAGGATGCCGGAGATGCAGGTATGTCTGCTGCACATGCTTGCCTTATTGGTATAAAAGGTTAGAAGTAAATATCCAAAACGAGGCACTGATGGATGCACATGCAATGTGCTATTCTTCGGTTTTTGCATTAGAAGAGTTAGTGCTGCAGGTACCAGCATGTACAGCATCTGTAGCTACACTGGCAGCATGTTTAATTTGGCAAAATCTTTGTTTGCAGAAGTTGCGGCACTTTTCCGGAATATACGAGTTCATATTGCACACTTTTCTCAATGTCAAGCAAAAAACAAGACAACTCTGTCCCAACTGCCGACACCCTAGCTGTGCACGACTTGGAATAACCTTTAAGGCTCCCTTTATTTGCGTAATGTATAACCAACTAGCCCGTCGTATGATCCTTATTATAGTGGGTTGCAGCATAAGCTGGATAGAAGCCTCCTCCCTCCAAAGCTCTCTGCTAACGACGGTTGATGGTTTCCTCCTCTCCACTAACCCTCTGTCCAGCGTTCCCTCTGCTGAAGGCTGCAAAGAGCGGAGGACTTTGTGGGAGGAAATCAATTGAATTGAATTGAAATCTTTATTTCTTTCGGATCAACCGAAAAGGGAACAGAGAGACTAAAGGCAGAAAATGCCTGACGAAGGTCTCTGTCCCCTTTGCAGTTCGTACATACGGTACACAGTATGCTATACACTCGTGCAGCTGTAAACATCAGTGATTCAAGTAATGTTCTGGCTTTATAAGACATCATCAAGAGAGGATCGCAACTAGTAATATAGATTATGAAAGAAACTTTTTCACAAGTTCAGAGACAAAAACCATCAATTTGTACATGTATTAAAACGGCTATAAAACAGCTCACTGCCCACCAAGGGTGTCCTCAGCTCTTTCTTAAATTTAGAGAAGGAGTTCTTAAAATCCATAAAGGTCCCAAATGAATTTAATAATTTGGTCACCTGATAATCTTTAGTTTGCTTTCCGTAATTTGTTCGAATCTCTGGAGGTGATTAGTTGCATTAACTTGAAATCATAAATTTGGTTAGCCTTGAGTGTACCGTGTTTTCTAAAAAGTGGCTCGGTTGGAAGGTCTTGCATATTTCCTGTGTAACTTTCAAATAACCGCAAAATTTTCTTCTGTAATTTAAGAATCTTATTGTAGTTTGTGAGCGTTGTTGTACCCCATACTAAAATACAGTAGCATAACTTTGAGTAAAAGAGAGAGTAATATATTTGTTTCTTTAACCATGTAGGGATCAGGTTTCTTATTTTATACAGACATCCAACTGTCTGAGAAAACTCGGCAGTCAGCTTATTTACATGTGCATTCCAGCTAAGCTCCAGGTTAAACCAAACGCCTAAAAGTTTTTGTTTTAACCCTGCGACAGCCTGCTGAGAGTGCCAGCCAGTTGACATAATTGTGTGCACGCCTTTCTTGGTTGACCCCTACAGAGTCGGCCATCCCTCAGGAGAGAGTGCAGCCGACAGCAGAGCCTCCTGCAGCGGCGGTCACCTTCGCAGCCCCCTGCGGGAACCCCCTACAAGGTGGGGCCAGCAACCAAGAATCGCCCCCGGTGTCCAAGCGACCCCGAGCGCTGTCAACGGAGCAGCCACACGTGCTGCAGCCCTGCAAAGGTGGGAACTTGCAACTCTGCAGCAATCGCTAGATACCCTTCGTGTGCGTAGGTACAAACAACCCACGGTAGCGCCCCCATAAGGATGCCCACCCACAGTGAAGAGAGGGGGGGCGGAATATCTGGTGGGCGATCTTTGGGGATGTGACGGCGCAGCTTTACTTGCAGACAAGGGACGAAAACACCGGCTATTACTCGAGTCTCGCAGAACGGGAAACCGACATTGGGGACAAGGCAAACCTGTGCTCTACGGTTCTGTTTCTCGGTCTTAGAAGCTGGTTCACACATGTCCGTTTGAATGTGGTCGACTGGGCTACGACTACTTTATTGACTTACGACGTGGGACGACGCTGGCACACTGGCGCTGTTTGTTAGGTAGTCCTGGAACCCTTTCGATTTGCACATGACTAGACCAAACGTTTTGTGCTATTTGTGAGATAAAGTCTACACTGCCAAGATTTCACTATAGTGCTTTGCACAGCTTTCAATTTCACACCGCCTTGCAGGGGGCACCTACACCTTAGGTGTTCGGTGCTTGGTGAGTGGCGTCACCGCAGACCCCTACCACGTGGGCCGCCATACCCACTCTCAGGGGGCACCTACTTTATTGGGTGCTTGGTGACTGGCGTCACTATGAACCCTGAGACATCTGGGTGCGCCCACCCACGCCTGGCTGTGCATGGCTTAACCCGGGGAAGAAGAGATCCTGATGGTTGAGCTAAGCCCAGGGTACGCTTAGACCCTTCAGGGCCCTCCGGGCGAGGCAATATACCGCTTCGGCCCTTGCACAAATTATTTGCCAATTAACTACTTCACATCAGACGACGCAAAGTATATCAAAATTGTCATCCTTAGATGCATTTTACGAATATGAAAAAAAATATGATTGTATTTTCTGTATTAATTCAGAAACACAGCTCCTTTCTCTAGAAGTGGCAGAATTGCGTGTCGATATTTTTAAAAATACACTTTTAAACTCTCCTAATTGTTTACGGAGACTTCAACTAACTTGTGAATGTGAAACATTCAGTAACATATGTCCGTCTTAAAGGAACACTGACACCCTCCCCCTCCACCCTCCCCCCAAAACAATGTTTTGTATTTTGCCAGGCGATCCATTATGGTATCAGAAGACTACAAAATCAGTATTTTGCCACAGTATCATATATATTTTAATAAAGTAAAAATATGTAACTGCTCGAAACTGAAACCAAAACTGGACTGGGGATCAAAGAAGAAATATAGAGGAGGAGAAGTTACTGGAAGTCACGTGGCTGTGCAACTTTTTTCTTTCAATCAACGTATTTGCAGCTTTCTATAAGCCATAAAAAATGGGTATCATATTTTTTGTCTATTTTTAGCATTGAGTGCATGCCTTCGATGACCCACGACTTTTATTATCTTTGGTGATTGTGTCTAAACCATAAAAACGGCACGTATACCATGGTGCAGAGAGTGAGTGCGACTCAAACCAGCCAGTTCTCGATCGGCAGTTTTGGGGTGGAAAGAAAACGAATTTCGAGCTGCAAATTGTGTTCTGCGTAGTTGGGTTCTCATATATCATGTACAAATAAAAACCTTGGCGAGCATAAATACCCTGTATGTGTCTCTTTAAGAGAGAAACAACAACAAACCTTCACTCAAATTAAGCTAGCATGTTTTCGTTTTGCCGCTCGACACCAGCTCCAAGGAGACATGTTTTACAACTGACAAAGGCCGCACAGCCATGCTGCTCTGTCGTAGGGTATAAAAAGTCATGCTGTCCCTAGCTTAATTTTATATTCGTGTTTTCTTGCATTGCCTCCTAAGACCGGCCCCCTCCCCGTTTGCCCACAAAGGACTGCAGGCAGTTGAGAGCAGTATGCGCAGCACTTTACCATGAAGCCCAAAGCCCTCACATGAGGGTCTATCACTGCGGAAACAAGGCGAGAAAAGTGGTATCTGGGAAGTTGGTATCTTGGTGTTCAACATTGCGTGACGACAAACAAACCAGCGTACCCTTTCTAAGTAGCCATGCGTACCCAATGGAATACAGATAGAACTTTGACCACTTGTTGTTGGCTGCTTCCATTTCAGTTGATACAGTGATGGTACGGGTCATATTTTGTATATTTCTGTAAAATATATACTATTTAGTATGAAGGTAGTGCCTTGGGAGAAGCACTGAGCTATACATATAGGGTGCTTCACGAAACGCGGGCCGAATCGTTCCTGTGAAAAGCATGCATCGCACAGAAAAGGGTTGATGTAATATGGTTTCCTGACAAAGGGCAAGTTTAGAAAGAAATAAGTGTCCGATATAAATAGGTAAATAATTACTATTAGTGACTAACTTTATAATATACATTTAAAGGTATCATTCCAATTAGAAATATGGTGGGCATAATTGAAAACTGTCGAATCCACCCACATGCGCAGCCTTTTATGGCACTCCATAAAAACACAGAATGGGGCATGTTTTAAAAAGGGGGGGGGGGGGTCTTAGGAGGCTGGGACACGATATCTTTTTACACCGTACGATAGAGCAGCACCGCTGTACAACCTTTGTCGGTCCTGAAAAATGTCTTTTTAGAGCCGACGTCGTGTGGTAAAGCAGCTATACGAAGACAAGCTGGCTCAATTTGAGTAAAGATTTGTATTCATTTTTCTTTTCAGGAGGTCATATGTTACTCCATGTTAGTTCAAGTTAGTTCAAGACACTGTAAGTGGTTGAGAGTTTAGGGAAAATAAAAGGTGGCCTTTTTTTATTGTTGACGTGCAGTTTTGCAAGGTTTAGAGAAATGAGCTGCATATTAGCTTTTCTGATGTGCTAGTTTGTAGTAGGTTCCAGCATGGTTTATCACACCATGTATCCTCAGTATCAGTTGCCATATCATCTGTATCAGTTCCCATGACAGGTCTTGTGCATTCTTGTCTTTGTTTATGATCACAGGAAATTAGAAGAGAACAAATATTCGCCCGCCGTAGTACGTTTTTGACTCCGAGTGCTCTTTGTTCTAACGTAGATGATTGTATCCTTGTTCTAGGCAACGGATGCCCGACTTCGGAAGAAGAAACAAGCCATCCAACAGAAGCCATCGAGGACGATCGGTTCAGCTGCTGCTTCTGCGGTCACACCTCGAGAGGTCACCATGCCATAGTCAGCCACATCCTTGCCCATTCCGGGGAACGACTGCCTATTCTGGCGCCCGCAGCGCGCAGGCCCCCCTTTGAGAAAGTGGGAGCGAAGAGAACTCGCCGCAACTCACAACGGTGGAACAACCGTTGCGTCCAGAAGAGTTCATCACAAAAGACAAACTCGGCAGTCGCGCACGGATGCACGCCGGAGAAGAGCCGTACAAGTGCCGCTTTCGTTCCGGGTCATTGAGTCTGCAACATTCGCCACGTTAGCCGACTTCGACGGAGCTTTACGGGAGTTCCAAGTCGACAACGAACTTGCGATTCGCGTTAGCATAGTGCCGCGGCCATTCGCTCTTCTAGAGTGGAGTCGAAGCTGGTAAATTTTGAGGCTGATATAAATCATAATGACTGGATATTGATTGGCCACGTTAGTTTTCACTCTGCTTCTTATAATCAAACTTTCGCGCAAGTGACGTGTAGCGGCCAGGGGCGGGTTCAAGGGGAAGGGGTGGGTGGCGACCCCCCCCCCCCTCCCAAGTTTTAAGGTCAACTTTGTTTCAATAGAATCATTGATATACATCAGCCAAAAGTTTAAGTTTTGGCTGGTTTTTTTTTCTATTCAGTTGACCCAAATATTGGGTCAACTAGATAGATCTAGGCGGCGTTCCGACCGTAACGTCATATCACAGCAGACCTGCCCTCCGCCAGCCGATTGCCTACCACCCCCACCCAGGCCTGACCCATAAATCCGCCCCTGATAGCGACGCTAGTCGTGTGGCGTTGTGGGAGGCGGTATGTGTCGCTTTTGGATGCGTGTTCCTCGCGTACGAGTTTGGAAGATCGTAAGACGGCATGTTGCATTGGTGCTCGCATCCTGATGCAACGATTCTACTCATGCAGACGGTGGGTGCACAAGGCCGCAGTGTGGTGTGCGGTTTTCGGCCGGCTTTGGCTGTGGTGCATTGCGGGTTAAAACCAAGTGTCCCGTTCTAATTGCAATCTAGTTTTTCGTTTTGTTTCCCGGGAGGCTGTCCAGCAGACGCACACGCGTATGGGCTTCTGCCTTTCTGCTTTGCCTCACACTCCTCCCAGGAGATAGCTTGTGCTTATGTAAATGAGGATTATTAAGTATGAAGGAGAGTGTGGTGAAACAAGCAGAAAATATAGAACAAAAGATGCAGGCGTGTAGCACTGAGTGATAGCCTCAGCATAGCTGAATCACGCTTCGATGAGCCCTGTTTTCGGTGCCAAAACACTTTTGACCTGTTTAGTTTGAGTTTTTAGCAACATAATGAGCGACAAAGCACTAGTTTTGCCATAAACGAGAGTGTAGCCGAAACTACAAGAGCGATCGAGCCCTACGCTTTGGTCTTGTATACCGAGACGAGCATTCGCACAATAAAAGCGTTAGTCGAGGCGATGCACTTCAGTTTCGCCCATACTTATAAACCGGGCTAGAAGGGTAAAAGCTGCCTTTTTTGCAACGATTGAAAGTTCAAAAGCCAAGTCCGCAGTCCGCGAGGTGGATTGGCCAATGATTGCGTCCGGGCGATACGTCAAATATGGGTGCAATTAGTTGATGAAGTCTCAGCCAGAAGGGATGATCGCGTCGTGTGAATAGTGGCAACTTCTGGTCGAGTTGCACGGCAACGTGCAAATAGCATCACTCTTCAATAAAAGCATTAATTATAAAGTTGAGGAATTTCTCAACAAACACCTTTGGACAAGTCTCGCAAACATCGAAGTTTTGCAGTATAAAATTTTTGTCCTTTAACATTGGCTTTAAAGAGCCTGACGACTAAAAAGGGAACGCCTCCAGATGCTCATGAACTGTACACTTGTGATGGTTCTTTCAATCATTCACTGCGCACTTACCCCTGGCTTTTTAGCATTCGGTTTTTCCAGTTGCTGTCCAGAAAATAGTCGTAGCACACGCTGTATTTCTCCTTCAAGTATGCCACTCCGCGAGTTTTAAAATTGGCATTGATTTCGGACTGTTTGCAGCAAGTGACCCATTTCTGACATCTGAAGCAAAACAAGCATTTCTCAAATCATTCTGGCGATAAAGTGACTGCAGGAGAATCGAGATCCCCAAAGTTTTTCACTTACACTCGTCAGTCTCGAGGGAAACAAAAGAATGACGGGCTCTTCCCGTGCCAGGTGCAATTCCTGCAGTGGAGAACAGAAGAAACCACTGCTCCTTCTATCCTTCTTTCTTTTACAACAACTAGGAAAACAATCGGGCCGCCAATGCAGACCTCAACACTCGGTGTCGCGCAACAATGAAGAACGGCAGAAACACGCACGACGGCAGCGACACCGTAGAGTACCGTTTAGGCAACCCCATCACATGCCGTTGTGTTTCCTGGTCACATGCTCTGACAGCGAGAAGGGGAGGGAGGGGGGGGGGGGGAGGCATCACCTAATAAACCACCCCCCCAGGGGAGGATTCAGCGCAACCATTGTTCCAATGCGAAAAATCCAAATAAGGAGGGTGTCAGTAACGTATTTGGCAAGGGGCCAAAAGCAATCACAGTCCAAGTTCTGCAGCATTGGCATTAGCTTCGCCACCTTAGGCAGCGCTGTGAATAGTGTCGGCACCAATAGCGGCGCTTCGGTGGTGGGGGGCGGGGCTCTCATTAATTTAAAATTAAATACCCAAAGCAAAACGTCTTCGCCGCATCATAAAAATAAAATATAATTTATTCTGTATCCTCGTTTCTGTTTGTTTCTCTTTCCATCTGGAACCAAAACCAAAAACCGACTGGGCTCCGGTTTCACAAACAGTCGCACTCGCTCGACTCGCTAGCACCGTCGTTCTTTTCTGCCAAAATGAACCACATGCAAAATCGTTTGAACGTCTGGCAAAACTCTGTGCGCTGCCATCTTTGTCACATCGAGATTTTTGCGCTGTTTGTCAATTTTTGTGGCGTTATCAGTAACAGCCAAGGCCTATTGCTCACCGCCGGCGATCCTCGGGCTGGAGGTTAGTGTTTTTTACGCTCTTCTTGCGCGCGTCAGTTCTCGCCGCCCAGTCGGTCGCTGGTTTTTCGCCAGAACCAACAAGGCGGACGTACACTTTAGCTTGAAATTTGACTTTGAGTGTTGGCGCGGGCACGGGCGCTTGGTTTTCGAAAGCGCTTTTTTTTGCGTGAGTGCTTGTGCAAGCGAAGGATTCTTCAGAATTATGCTTTCGCACCCTGGCCTTTGTCAGCGCCGAAGCCAACTGGTGAGACGGAGCATGTTCTTCGGCGCCCCACTAGATGTCGCTGTGCATTTCGCATATCGTCTGTTTGTGGCTTCCTCACGGTTCTGTCGCAAACACAGCCTTTTGTGTGTGACCTGTCTGTGTGTAATCGTTTAGTGTTCAAGTCATTTTCTCACCATCAACGTTTCGCTGCACGTGGTTTTGTTTGCCCAAGGCCGAGGTGGCATTTCCCTAGCTATCATTTTCTTTGTTTGTGACGTCGTGGGTAGTACAGACTGCACAGATCTTAGATCCCTCGACTTGTCAGCTTGCTTCATATGCCGTTTGGGTAATGTGCTGCAAAGCCTGTTTCACGTATTGTGTTTATTTGGTGAAGTGATATTTGTTGTGGGACATTACACCAAAGCTTGAAAATGTGGCACACATAGTCGTGCTAACAAACACTTCTGGCGCTGAGGTCCAGCACTTTGCCCCACTACAGCATCTACCACGGCAAATAAAATGAATTTTTTATTATGATTCTGACAAAAAAAATTACACGAGGACACTTAAAGGAGCTGTGCAACGATTTTAACGTTGAAAGAATTGACATCTTCTACTTTTGACATTGTTTGCCTTGTCACAAAGGACAGAAAACATACCTCCTTCCTTCGAAATGTGTCCATATCGCCGCGTAATTGCGAGGCAAAAATTAGAATATTCCTCGACCTGCAGCCACGAGCAACGGCCGTGTGAAACACGCGGCATGACGTCAATGGGTGGTCTTGTAGAAATATAGCAAGTTGTGCGAATACCTGCTCTTTAAAAGGTAACTTTTCTATAAATCTTGTCGTTGCAACATATTATAAATGTGTCAAAAACCTGGTATCATCGACAAAACTTTTATTATACGGAATTTTAGTGGCGCCATCTATGCTAGGTTTACAAAACCGTCGGCTCTATCTGCTACCGCAAACAGCAGAACAGCCGCCAGAGGCTGGAGAGGAACGGGGACAGGGCCGGGACGGTCGGGTGTGGCCGGACCCAGATTAGAGTTTCCTTCTTTCACCATATTGTTCACGCTGCGCCCACCGGCACATGTTCATGCGGTCGCGAGCGGATGAGTTCTCGCTGCTCACTGATGGCTCTAGAGAGAGAGCTTCACCGGAACCCCGCACCACCCCCGTTGACGTCACAGTGCACGTGACTCGGAAGATGGTGAAGGAGTTGAGAGGTGCCGAAAATCTCAATCTTTGTCCAGTTTTAAAATAAAAACTAGGACATGCAGGCAAAACGGTTTTTACAGCGGAGCTGTTAAGGGCTAGTTTCCCGAGGGTCATGTCCGGTGCAAGACACTTACGGACAAAAACGCCTCTGGCAGCTATCGCCATCTATAAGCAACGGCGGCAAGCACACAACCAGTATGGCTGCCGTCGTCGCTGGTAGATGGCGCCAACCTTTCCAGCTATAATAGAAGAATGGATAGTTGGGGGCGTTGGCGGGAATTCATCGTAGGAAACAGCGCGAAAAACAGACAACGACAAAGAAGAAGCACACGTAACGAGCGCAGCGCTCGTCACGTGCGTTTCTCCATCCTCGTTTGTTTTGCGCAGTTTCCTACGCTCTTATCAGTTTTGGTTTGGACATAGGATGGGTCGGCCGCGCACCCTTTCGGGGAAAGAAGACTGGCTGCGGAAGGAGCGGCGACGTACGCGGCAGCACGAATGGGTCCATAACCGCCGCAAAGCCACTGTTGCCTCAACTTCCACTGTGTCGAGCGCTTCGGATTCTCTTGCCAAAGAAGAGCACATCGACCGCCTGGAAAGCCGCCGCCGAGAACAGAACCAGCGATGCAAAGGGCGCTGGCGGGCCAATGCTAGGGCGAGGATCGTGCCACGGAGGCCAAGCGCAAGCGCGAGGCTCGGCTACAACGGCACTCCACGCCGGCTGAACAGTCTCGGGCACAACGGCAACGTTCCGGAGGGAGTTCGTGGATTACCCGTTTGGCGTCACGTGCGCCGTGTGCGACTGCCCCTGGGTCGCCGGAGATGTATCCACGATCGGCAGCGTGTCGGACAAGAAGAAGCGGGAAACGGGCGCGTGCGCTTTGCAGGAGTGTATCGAGTGCAGCTCCACTGGTCTTCCTTCTTCACGAAAGTGGAAAGGCTGAACGTTTTTTTGTTCCATACTTCAGAAAGGTTGAGACACCAACTCTCAAATTATTTTAAAAAAGCAGTGAAACTGTTGCACAGCTCCTTTAAAGGGATGGTGAACCGAAATGTGGATTTCAATAAAACGATGCTGGAAATGTAGGTGGGGCGCTACAATTTCTACAACACTACTAGCAAGGCGACATCTCAAATGGACGGCCGTATTTTTGGAAAAAGAAGTCGAGATTGAACCAGGCCGACGAGGCGCGTGACGTCAAGATACCTAGTTTCCTCCTCTCTTCGCTTCGCTCCCTCGAGGCCGCGAGGTGGAGAAGACGCGAGGCAGTTCCCTCTCCTTCCCGGACAAACATGACGTCAACATTCCTGCCAAATGCGCCTCTTTTTTCTAAAAAAATACGGTCATCCGTTCGAGATATCGCTGTATGGGTGATGTTTTGGTGTTTGTAGCACCCCGTTGCACGCTTTTGCCGCGTGTTTTGGGGAATCCAGATTTCGGTTCAGCATCCCAGCATCCGTGCAAGTATGCAAAAGCATTATAGTCCCGTGTAGTTGCCTCACAGTCCATCGCACGAAGCCCACAACAAGCGCAGATGAAGTCCGAAGCGCACCTTTTGCACACGACGGTGACATAACGCAACCCCCACTGCATAGATGCTGCCCTCCCCCCCCCCGGCTCCCGTGACAAAGCTTTGGTGTGTTGCTGTGCTTTTCTTTTTGTTCTACTTCTGAGGCGCATACGCTTCGACCTTCAGCGGCGCATGCTTGAGGACATTTTTATGGCCATCTTTTGGGCACAGTGATGTCACCTTTTCCCATAATGGGACATTTAAGGCTTTCACCTTAATAAAACTGAGAAAGGAATGTCTCATCAAATTGAAAATAGGAAAGCGAAATTCTCGCGTGTCTAGTAAACACTTCAGTGAAAGCAACGTCCATGTATCCTGTTGGTTCCAATGTGTTCTGTGAGTGCTGGTCTCTTATATTAGTTCGAAGTTGACTCCTCTTTGAACTTTGTAAACCAGTAAGAACACATTTCCTAAAAATAACAGGCAGGAAGAAGTGGAGGCTGACTCCTGGAGTCATTTCAACTAAATCCCTGCTTATTCACCCAGTCTATGCAAAATGTACGAGGACCCCCACGATTGAGGTTCGTTAACTCTAGCAAGTCGGTGACACTTCAACGTCCCAAAAAGTTAGGTATACACATGCTATTTGCTACCGTTTGAATGTTTAAATTCGCTGAACCATAGAATTGCACATAATGCGTAATGCACTTCTCAGTGAGCAATTTTGAATTTGTAAATAATATTTAGTAAGCATTAGAACAAATTAATCACTCGAATTTGCCGGGCCATGGCCGACATTTTAAGAAGTTGGGAAGATTTCTGCTTTTGTTTCGAGCAGAAGTCGCAATGTGACAAACTTCTCTGCCACATATTCGAGGCAGGAGGAGCTAAACATGAGTTGGTGACGAGCATTTACTCTTCAGCAACTGTGTCACACTTGGATAAAAATGTGTCGGCAAGCTCAATGTAGCTAAAACAAGTGTGCTGCGCTTTGCAACACAACTGTATGCGCGTTCACAGCTAAGAAGAAAGCATGTTGTTTACTCTAGTGATAGCAAAACCTTTTAGAGCGCAGCTCTTAGGCGCCCGTTTCCGGCTTGAGCGGCATCGCTGTCGGCGTAACCGCGCAACGACGATGACGTCACACGTGACGTCACTGATGACGTCATCAGTGACGTCATCCTCATTGTCATCGTCACTGATGACGTCACGTGTGACCTCATCAGTCATGATGACGATGACGCTAAATTCCCCGCTAAATCTAGCGAAAAACATTTGGCCGCTAAATTTTTCCGCTAGTTTTAGCGGAAAAAATTTACCCGCTAAATCTAGTGGAAAACATTTCCCGCTAAAGTTAGGGGGAAAAATTGGCCCAGTAAATTCCCGCCAAATTCACTTGCAATTCTCTCACCAAAGATAAGCATTTTCTGCAACTTGTGTTAAGCACACGTCGATCCACAACCATGTTAGTAGTGGGCAACTTTCCACCTTCTCCCCTCAGTACCCTTCCCTCCTCCTCCTCAAGAGCTGCGCTCCAATTCGGCGTTACAGGGGATTGTAAACGCCTTTCATTTTTTCTGCAGCAGCCTCCAGAGATCAGGAAAGACAAAAAATCAGAGTGGCTGTAAATAGCTCTGACGCGCGCCGCACAAGCTGTACTGTGAAGCTCAGTAGCGTAGTAACGGGGGGGGCCGGGGGGCCGTGGGCCCCGGGTACCAGGAGTCTCAGTCACGAGGGGGGGTGCCACTTATGGCGGCAATCCCCCCCGGCTTGACTGGTTCGTAGGTGGCAAAGAATGTGTAGATGCATGAGGTCACCACTCTTCCATCACGAACGTGTCTGGTGCAGAGTCGCAAAACTGGCTTGGCTTGCGCAAAGTCATCGCGCACCGGCGGAAAAAACAAGCGCGGGAAGTGCGGGAGCACTCGAGAAAGAGCTGCGCCTGGGCACGCCGAGCCAACGCCACCTAGTCTACGCCAAACCCAGCGCAACACGACGCTGGCTTGCGCCGACCACGGTACACGTTTTTTCATGCTCACCTTAAAGATGGAAACTACTGAGAGTTGTTGGCGTGATAGTTAAAAGTCTTAGCCACAGGAGGTGGAGCGCTCATTACGAAGCAGTCCGTGCAGCAGAAAAATGCTATGAGCAGATAATCTCGACGCTGGAAGCACTGCAAGGTGCAAAATACAACGTGGAAACAAGGAGGGGTGCGTTGAGCTTTGTTACTGCTGCATCCGATTTTTCTTTTTTGAGTTTCCTTTATCTCTGGTCTGAAGTCTTGCAAGAAGTCAACCAAACACAGAAATACTTGCAGATGGCAGGAATCAGCCTTCAGCACTGCACCCCGAAGCTGAGATCTTTAAAGATATTCCTGCAAGAGCAGTGCGTCAAGGTGGTACAAAGGGAAATTGCCCAAGCCACAGTAAAATGCGAGAAAATGGGTATAGAAACACTAGCAAGAATCAGATATCGCAGGAAGATGCCTGGTGAAAGAGCAGTGGACGCTGGCCTGACGTTAACAGAGCAAACCAAAAGGGCAATGTTTGAATGTCTCAATCGTTTTCACGAAGAGCTGGACACCCGCTCAAAGGCTATGGAGAAAGTGACGTCGGTTTTCTGCGTCATTGAGCCTGCTTCTATAGTACTTGAGACCGAGGAAACGCTTCGGACATTGACACCAAGCCTCACTGAAGTTTATGACGAGTTCACCGGTCATGATGACGAAATCGTTATGGAGATCATCCGACTGCGAAGGCACCTGAAAGCCGCTGGGAAGCATCCTAATGAGACAAAAACTTGGAATGCAAAGCAGTTTCTAGAATTTATTGCCAAATGGAGCTTTTTCGAGACCCTTCCAAACCTGACTGTTATATTTCGCTTGTTCCTCACCATTTGTGTTTCAGTTGCCTCATGCGAAAGGAACTTTTCCAAGCTAAAGCTAATCAAAACGTCTCTGCGCTCCACCATGAGCGATGAAAGGCTCTCAAACCTGTCGATACTGTCCATAGAAAAAGAATGTGTCAAAAACATAAATTTTACATCAGTAATCGATAACTTTGCAGAAGCCAAGTGTCGACGAAAGAACTCATGAAGAAATTGAATGTTCAGCTTTCGTGACACAAATGCTCAATATAAAAAAAAAAGAACTTCATGTGTCCTCATTATGTGTACATAGTTATTTAAAAAAAAAAAAAAACGCTGTTTGCTGGCTAACCCTGTATTTATTATTTCATTATCGCCGCGTGACCTCGCGTCGCGGTTATGGCTTTTAGCTTTGCGGTCTCGGGGAGCGGGGGGTGGGGGGTGACAAAAGACCTAAGGGCCCCGGGTGCCAGATGGCCTAGCTACGCCACTGGTGAAGCCCCAGGCTCGTTTTGAACATTTTGAGTTTTTTTTAATATAAAGAGTAACCTTGAGTCACTGTTCTTCATTAGAAAGATCACTCACAAAAACATCATACATGTTTAAAAAATAAACCGTTTTAATCGGCATAGATGTGAACTAACATAGCCACTCTGTGCTATTAAATAGCGCGTCGTCTGCTCGTATCCTACCCACACCGTCACAGGAGAGCGCCTGTGAGGTGGCGCCACCAAAACATCTCGTCGCCAATAGACCAGTGTCTGCTCTGTTCCACGGGTGCCGCCACATTTGTTTATGCTCACGCCATGTGTATTTTATTAGAAACGCTCGCACATGTCGTAGTGCAAAAACATCAGAAAGGCTTAGCCCCGAAGCTCCAAGAAAAACACTGATGCCAAGAGTGCTAAAAAAGAAAAAAGATTTCTTGTTTTATACACAGTGCCTCTCTTCACAAGAGCCTACATTTGAGATGATTCTTTTCTATTTTCATCGCTGGGGGCTATGATTTTGGATACTGTTGGCCACTCTTTTTTAAATTGGCAGTTATAGACCGACACGCGGCTCTGTTTAAAACACGGCCGGAAGGCCGCGCATGTGCGGAGGATGTGGGCAAAAGCGGCCCGGCTCTCCATGTTTTCGCCATTGCGTTATATGGCCGGCGTGCGCTCGTTTTTGAAGTGGGGACGCTTCTAGCTTTATTTATGCGTCGTATTTCCTAACTAACCTATGTCGTATGCCATGCCCGACTATTTCAGCTCGCTAACCGAGCCTGAACGGCAGCGGTATCGAAACAAACTGCGTGAATGGCGTTGTCTTCGACGATCCGTACGCCACAAACAAGGCCTGCTGGACTTCCGACGTGAAGTTGCTGCCACCAAGATCGACGGCTCACATCGTCGTTTAAAAAGATATTTAGTTTTTTTGCCAAGCCATGCAGTTCACGGCCGACACGGTGCAGGCGTACAAGTCTCTCGAGGCCTATGATTACTTCAAACCGGTTTCTGCACTGCCGGTGTAATCAGCAGACTGTGGGTCTGCGGAAGTGTATTTATTAATTGATTGAATACACACATGCAGCGTCTTCAAGTCAACGCATGATATTTTTCCTACCCTCATGACCACAAAGCATGGCAAGCAGTAACGCTTTGTCCGTTCTGCAGTCTTGGCGGTAACACGTTACAAGTAACGGCGTTACCAGAAACGCATTACTTTTTTTAGTAACGTAGTAACCTACTCGTTACTTTTTTGACACAGTAACGGCGTAGCATACTTACGTTACTATTTCAAGTAACATATAGTTACGTTAAAACCCGTTCACACTCTTGCGACCTCTTTAACCTGGGTTCTTAAAACTTCTTAAACCAGAGAACACACTGGCGCCATCTATTGGGAAGCAGTGTAAACTCGGCGGTCCGGCATATTTGTTTTATTTCTCGCGCATTATCCTTTCTTTCTTGGCTCGAAAAACTTTTGTCAATGTTATAAACGAGCCTTTCTATGGGTATTACACACATTTGACCTTGGAACTCCCGCAAAACCTTCACTCTTGTGAAATGCAGTTCTAGAGCCACAGTGTAGATGGCGCCACAATGCCAGTGTGTTCCCTCATTCTAAAAACATTTAAGAAGTTTTAAGAGATCTCGTCTCTCTCAGTCGTACTTGGTCGCAAAAGTGTGAACGGGCCTTTACTCGTTACTACTTCCCAAGTCTCAAAGAAATTATACTTAAATTTTTTCCATGCTTTTAGGCGTCAAGCCATGTGAATTTCTGAGTTTTCTGTCTTTTCTTTTGTTTTGCATTTTTTTCATGAATATTTAGGTGAAACCGTAAAAAAGAGATAAAGCAATTATGTTCAGTTTCTACATGAACATAATGTTTCTTGATATATGAGCTTATGCATAACTGTATCGTCAAAACAGTAAAACATGTCCGTAATTTTAAAAAGTAACGCAGAAGTAACGTGCGTTACTTTTTGTCGGTAGCAATAACGCTTTAACTTTATTTTGAGGTACGTAGGTCGGTGACGCATTCCTTTTATTTGCAAGTAACGAGTAACATATTTCGTTACTTTTTTTCGGTAACGCCTACAACACTGCCGTTCTGTCGCCGTTCCCCTTCTGCTGGGTAGCACGAGCGTAGCAAGGCTCCGACGAGTGCTTGGCCAGTGCTTTGTGCGCAAACAGGGAACAAAATCTGGGTGGTCCTGATCAGGCGACGGTTTCCCTGAACATAGGCAAGCCTCGGGACGGAGATTGAAATGAAAGCCGCACTTGCCTTGAAGAAATTGCTTGCCGCAGAAACGGTCGTTCGTCCGAGGCGACCATTCTTTTCGATCCACGGATATTATCCACCTTCTATGCCTTTCAGCGTCTGCCGGGAACTTGTGGAAACTCACTCCACTACTTTTTTTGTACCTTTCGGTGCAATGAACGGCAACACAGCTTCGTGGCATGCTGAAATGCTATGACGCCCATGCGAAACGTGCGCCCTTCTGCCCACACCACCCGGCTCCGGCGCAATCGCAGCGCCGCCGCAGCGCCGCCGCAGCTCCGTGACGTCGATTGCCCGCGTGTCGGTTTATAGTGAGGGTCGGAGATGCGTGCTGGTACACCAATTTCTGAGTCTGTCCAGTGTGCTAGCTTCATTGGGCGCAGTGGCGTAGCAACTTGTTTTTGAATGGGGGGCAAACCAGACCCCCCCCCCACCGGGCCGGGGTGTGGTGCCCTTGGTATCCCTTGGGCACCGCCGGCTAGTGTTTGCCCTGCCCACTGGCGGCGCTGTTTCTGAGGGGCAAAACACATGCCTTGCCCCCCCCCTCTGAAAACTGGGGGGTGACAGCGCCCCCCCTGCCCCACCCCCCCCCCCCCTCAGTTGGTACGCCCATAATAGGCTGACACAAATTATTCCCACTTTTACAGGGAAGATAGTGTTGCACGCAGGTTACCTAATTATCTTTAAAACAAAATTAACGTTTAGTGTAATATTTACACCAGGAGGCACGTTTCACTTCAGGAACAAAACCAAAACTAACTGGTATTTTGGATTTAATTTCTCGATTATGTGTTAATTTCTGTTTCTCTTCTAACTCAAGATTTGTCTCGCAGTGTAATTATTGAGAAGAAATTGTTTGCGGAAACATTTTTTTTTTTTTGACATGCGTAAGAATCAGTTCATATGTTATAGAATATTGCCACAAGTGATGAGTTTAGAATATGCTCACAAAAGGTAAAAAATAACTGCAAAAAAAAAGCACACACACACACAAAACAAATTTACGCGAACAAAAAAACACTTTACAGGAATATTTATTGCTCGAGATTGATTTCATTGTAAGCAGTGATAGAGTGCAGGCGAGCTGGTGATTAATCGACATCTTGTAAACCCTGAGATGGGTAACGATTGAGATTTTGTTGTGTTCGTCCGTTTTTTTAATCGTTCCCCATCTCGTGGTTTACAAGATGTCGATTGATTTCAGTTTGCGGCTGTTTCGTCCGCTTTAAATCGCGCGCCACAAGTTGGTAGGAGTGACGTGCGATAGCAACTCTTCGAAGGGGAGTGTAAAGAACTCTAGATCTGGTTGTTAAACCTTTGTGATATATTGTAATTTCCTTCTGAGTGTCATATTTTTACGTTTAAAGAATAACCCGTGTAATTCGAGTTATTATTATTATTTACAAAAGGTTTACAAGACGGACCTTTCCGTTTGGAGTTTCGATTCAAAAGTTTTTCAATGGCCGCCGCTGTCTGCTCGCGTGCTCGCGCCACTTTCGCCGGTCTCGCCCGGCTCTGGTCTCGCCTACCTCGACTAGTCGTTTCTCCTAAGTGATCAGTATTTCCTGCTTCAGTAAAACTTCCTGAAATGAAGTGGTGTGTGTTTAGCAGCTGTCACAGGTGTTAGTGATAGGAAGCGACGCGAGGTTTTGGCTTTCATAGCGCGGTTTGTTAATTTTGTTTTCCTTTTGCAGTGTAAGTGTGTTCTTTTCTTTCTTTTTTGCTTGCGTGTGCAAATGCCGACTTTTTGGAGATGTCAGCTCCTGCAAACCGGCGCCGTTGCTCTGTAAAGGGCTGTAAGGTTAGTGATCGCGACAGCGAGTCTTTCAGCAGCCATGTCGCCCCGAAAGATGACAAGCTAAAGGCTATTTGGCTGGAGGCAATCGGGCGTTCGCGTAGCGACAAACGTGTCCAAGTATGTTCTCGTCATTTCGCTCCGGAGGTCTTCGAGCTTAGCACCGCGCACACCGAACGTCCGCGATTGAGACACGGGGCGGTCCCGACGCTATTCCTACCGGGTGCAACAGCTGCAACTGCAGCATCATCGGTAAGTCATACTTCTAGGTATAATTGCTCACTACGCTAAAGTTTCGGGTGGCGCATTGTCTCGTTTTAGAACTGTTTTATTTTAACCGAAAATTGTTGTAACGCTGGTAAGCGAGTGTCAGCATCAAGCAATTACAAATAGAGCGATGCTATATGCACTGCGTAGTGCACTTTGGACGGAAATTGCTATACGCACTACGCGGAGAGCTCATGCCGCTCGGGCATGGAGAATAGAAGGGTAGGAGAGGGCATGACGTTGGCCGTGTAGCCTCCACAGGCCATGCTCCCTTGACGCCTTGCCTCTTTCTCATTTTCCTCCTTACTCTCCTCACTTAGCATGTCAACGTGACCACATCACGTAACCGTAGTTAGCCTTCGCCTTGCTATGGGGTACTAGAATACACCACAGTCAAGACTTCGATCCGATAAAACCTACCGGACGGAGCGCGCGCAAGCCTGCAAGGAGTCCTTCTACAATCAACCATCCATCTCACACGTGACATGTCACGCGCACCAATCGCCAGAGAGATCTGCGGTCACCCTGGGCACAAAATCATTTAGACTTTTTATGACTAGGCTTCACCAATATTGCAACGTGCCCCCTTCTAGTACTTCTAACCTCCTTGCGCTCGGGCCACCCTTTTTCGAACTGCGCGTGTATCACTGGGGAGCTCGTTAAAGGGGTACTCCGCCGATTTCTTCATGGTCCCCGATTTGCTTGAAATTTTGCTAAACTCGCCAAACAACATCGCCAAAATAGTATCCCAAATATTAGGTCAAAATAATTTTTTTTCACAAAGTTATTGAATTTACAATTTTGGTCCCCACCGTGTTTTTCAAACTGAAGGTCTCTACTGGCAACAATGAAAAAGTGACGTCAGTGGAAGTGCAGGGGTTCACTCTTTGGACTGTAGAATTTGTTCCCAACTGATTCGAAGCAGTTTCATGGTGTCAAATGAATGCTTTGGAAGCTCGCTCCAGTTCCCGCGCTCCAGCACGGAACAAATGATTGGCATATTCTATTTTTTAGACTGCTCGCCCGACTGGCAAGCTTACCTTCCACTAACGTCACGGCCCTGAAAAGGGCGAGTATATTTGAATGTCTGTTTTTGCATAATTTTCATTTGCTGATTTCGCAATAACTATTATGAATTTCACAATACTAAATAGCATACCAGAAAGTGTAAAGGCCGGGGAGGCAGAAAATATAGTTAGTTGAGGTAGCTCAAAAATCGGCGGAGTACCCCTTTAACACAGCCCCCCGCTTGCGTTCACGCCGCTTCGCGGCGACAGTACGCGGCTGCTAATTAGAGTTAACCAGTACACGCCGCTTCGCGGCGTCCGGCCGGCAACCCAAGCCCCGCTGTCCCCGATCTGCGAAGTTTCGTCGGCAACATTCGGTGTTTTTATTTAGTGTTCATCGCAAAAAAGAAATATAAATATGGCCAAATGCCTCGACAAAACAACATTCAAGAGAAAAAGAAAAAAAAATGGTAGGCCCACCGCGATTCAAACCCACGTCCACTTTAACCCCTACGCTATGCCACCGCTTAGGAAACTCGTGTGGCCATTCGTTTTATACGAAAGAAACGTAGTGCATATAGCAATTTCCGGCCGAGCTGCACTCCGGAGTGCATATAGCATTACTATCTTACAAATATCCTACATCTCTGTGGCCAGTGATTAGCATCTACGGGTACGGGCCACTTGCCTTCAATGTTGACCACACACCCTACCAACAGTTGATTGAGGAAAAATTTAAAACGCATTCTCTTCTGTGCAATCCAACCAGCTGATAACCGGATCAACATGGCCAGCACCCGTGCCTAACCGTGACAGCCGAGTTGGAAGCCTCTCTACAGTGAGTTTTCAGCTGCCGCTATTTCGGTCCCCAGTGTGCATGAACGTACATTAGGTGCAAGCTGCACATTCCCTAATAATGCCCTCTGCACTTGGCAACTCCACTTGGCAACTCGCAGAACCATATATGCAAAGGCCAAGCGGCTGCACCTGTGCCAGTCAGGAGCACGTTCAAGTGCATGAAACCTTGGCCCCTTGGCATTTGTTTGTAGGCTGCTCGCCTGTTCAGCTGGCTATGTGTACAGTTCCCACTGCATGCCAGAGATTTGGATCGTACTTTGTACTTGCAATCTGTGTTTTAGGCTCGCTGCTGCAGGTGCTCTGCTCCTCGTGCAACCGTTGGCACACAAACGGAGGCGGACACTGCAGGTTCTTTCATACCCATGTGTGAGTATTATATCCACGGTTTATGTCTATCTTGACAATGATGTCGGAGGTTTTCATATGCTAAAAAGAAAACAAAATTACACCTTTTTGTAAAGGCTATTATGGTTAAATGGCATATTTGAATTTTTGTGCATTTATTGGGGGCTTACATTACCGCAATTTGTATTAATAATAATACAATTAAGATATTTTATTACATAGTTTTTCAAGCTTTAAAGAATTTGTTGCTTTTGGTCTAATTTCCAATGTGTGAACAACTATGGCAATCCAAAGTTGCAAATTATCATCACTGGTGCCAATTGCAACATTTCCAATTAACAGGTTACAAAAATAAAATAGTCTAAAATCAATTAAAACATTCTAGCTAGTCTGAGTAATCCATGTAAAATTACATTAATTGTGGGTAAAGCATATTGTGCTCTTCTTTTGACGATCGGCAAAACATCCAAGGTAGCCACCAATCCTTCCGGGACCAAATGCCCCAATGTTATGGTGCCTGGAAAGCGTCTCCGACTGGTGTGTTTACAGTGTCCAAAAAAGATTTCCTCGATTTCCCCTTCATGACGTCAAAGAAGTGTCACGCTGTCGCCGGTCGCAATCCTGGCAGCGTCCCAACAGTTGTGGTGGATGTAGCAGATGCCTGTTCTGCTGCAGGTCGCTCTCTCTTGTGACAGTCCACGGAAGCTACAGTAGCCGGAAGTTGGGACGCCGTGACAACAGCGACACTTGCGTTCGCTCGTGCTTTTCGCCAGCATTTCTACGGCCAACCGCCAGGATCGCGACATCCAACAGCATGACACTTCGGTTTCCGTGACGTCAGCTGTTGCCACTTCGGGTACTTTGGGACCACTTTTGATGTATGGGCAGGATAGGACGCTAAACACACCAATCGAAGACGCGATCCATCCAAGATACAATGTTTTGCCCACTTCAGCCTTTCCAGTTTGAAGGAACGCTTGCATGTCTGCTCACTGCAGCACGTTTTGTTGGCATAGGAAAACCAGTGAAACAGTAGTGAGTTTTAGTATTGCATGTGCAGTTGAACCTCTTTATAACGAACACTGATATAACGAATTATTGAATATAGCAAACTAATCACAAAGTTTCGTTCGTCATGTTTTTTTTGGATGGGAGTTCTAGTTGTATACCGAAACCGTAAAATCTGACGCGCTATCGGCTATAGCGAAGCAATTCCTGCTTTTCTAGCGTCACAAAATACTATGAAGGTAATTAAAAAGTAGAAAAAATACAAAAAGTAATTTCTAAACAAAAAATTCAGAAAGTATAGACCGCCTAATGAGCAAAAATGGGCGTTTCGGGAGGTAGAGCCACCTATGATTCGAGCGAATACGGGCAATTGCGCCGCTGCTGGCCTCTATACGTGGCATCAAGAACCAGTGCAGTCTAAAGCCAACCGCCAACCACACCACTCGTAGCGCAGCTGGGAATGGTGATGAAGCGAAAAGCTGTCTCTCTGGAGACAAAGTAAAGGTTTTGAGGGCGGTGGACAGCAGTCAGAAGAAAAAAGGCATCACTGCGGACTTTGAGCTTGAACCAAGCATGATATTTACCATCGTGATTGCAAGGAAGAAGATCGAAGACTGCTATGCAAACAACACCGTCAAGACTTGACTGACCAATCTTAGGCCTTGTTTGAACCCGGACGTGGAAGAGGTTCTGTTCTCATGGTTTAAGGACGTAAGGGCACGAAATTTGCCGATATCTGGTCAGCTTCTTCATACGAAAGCAGTCAGTCTGGTGTGTCTGTTAGGGCATGACGATTTCAGCGCGAGCAGTGGTTGGACCCAGCGTGGTGGCTCCAGGTGAAGAGGCACCCGCCCAAAATCACGTCTTCAAATAAATGGAATAATAGATCCAGCTAACGTCGTTTCTCGTGTTGAAAACTGATATCCTCATGCTCCAATCTATCTTTTTTTGTAATGCTGCTTAGTGACAGATAAGGATCTCCTGGTCCGCAATAGCGGACTTTTGTATCTTAGTGCTGTGCACATTCTTGCACGGGCTCGATTACGGGAACATTCGTGTCAATTTTGTTGGGCACTTTTATAACGAAAATCGCATATAGCGAACAACGTTCACTCCCTATGCTAGTTCGTTATAACAGGGTTCGACTGTATACCGTATTTTCTGGCGTATAAGACTCACTTTTTTTCCAAAATTTGCTGCGGTGTTTCTCGTGTATTAATATTTACTTAGACAGTTGCGAAAAGTGGGGGGTGCGTCTTATACAATGATGCGTCTCATATACATAACATACACTTCTTTTCCACAATTTTCGGCGGTGCGTCTTATACACAGGTGCGTCTTACGTCTTATATACTAATTTTTACGTAGAAACTTGCGAAAAGGGGGGAGGGGGGTGCGTCTTATACACCGGAAAATATGGAAAGCATATGCAAGCACTGTATTTGCGTTAACATTGCATGTTCGACACCGCATATGCACGAATCGCAAAATTGCAGTCTTAGGTTGGCACATGGCGACGATGAACATGCACAGCATGGAGCACGCAAACACGCAGCGCTTTTGTTTGCTTTTATAGACATTTCCAGCGGCAGTCTCGATCCGGGCATTTTACAGTGCACGTCCCTGGTTTTGAGAGTATGTCAGTGTTGCCCGACTCTGCGGGGCTGTAGATTTTCTCGTCGGTGGGCTGTGGCAGCCCGTAAAGGTGCAATTCCTAACACTGGTGGCAGCTAAATTGCTGCTTTTTACTGGTTTTCTGGTATGTTTTGTGGCAAAGGAAATTTCTTTAGTGTCTTTGAGAAAGTATTTTACCATTCCTGGAAACATATGCAAACAAATAAAAACTATATCTAGTGAGTTCTTGTGCGACAGAACAAATGCAACTCTAATGTTTGTTTTATTTTACGCAGATTTTTCACGCCGCCCAGCACTCGCAGCCTTGCCAATCTATAAAGCTCTTAACTGTAGGAAATATTTAATCACGCGAGATAGCCAAAAGGCATAGGTATTCCCCGCTTGCAACATAACATTCAAGAAGTCTGATCATTTGAACATTTTGTACGTACCCCACAGTGCCACGTTATCCGAGCAGGGTTTATTTGAGAAACATCTCAAGTAACACAGAATATCAGATCTAGTGTTGAGGGCAGTCACTTCACGACAGTCAGACAGAATCCGGACTTGTTGTTGTCAGGGGAATTTTAATTACCGGGAAAAATCGGGGAATTGTCAGGGATATTGTCAAAAAGTGAGCCCTTTAAGGGAACATGAGACGGAAATGCCATTGAGTTCCCTGATCAAAGGCACTACGATTTGGGGGCAGAAAAATAGGCAATAAATTCTGCTTAGAGTGGAGTGCGGACTCTGCTCATCCGATGTAGAGTATACTACCCGACGGAAAGGGAAGAGCCGACGAATCCAGTCCAAGCCTTGTATTGGATTGAATTGGATTGAGGGCGCGACACTAGGCTAGATTCTGTTAGAGCTACTACATTTAGTAACATATAGGAAAGCCGCAGACAGTAATTTAATCCAAACCTTAAGCCGAAAGTGTACATCTGGCGGCCATGCTGCCATTCGGTTATTGACATGTATGTTTGAGCGTCATGTTTTCATCATGTTTCCGGAAGTGGCCTCTTCGCTGACTATGTCGGCGGCAAGAAAGTGCTCGTTTCTCCGTGGTGGACAAACCCGAATATTTTGGAATGTGCAAGTTGGATTAAGCCCGTGCAATATGATCCTCTCAATGCTCAATGCCTTGTGTTGTAATGGTCTTATACACCAACTCATGTGTACAAACAAATCGGAGCGCCCGGAGCGCCCCTAGCGGACGCCACCGGTGCCGCGCATGCACGATGGGGGTGTGGGCAAGAAGCTCACCGTCGCCCATAAACAAACCATTGAAATGCGATGTTGTCGGCGTCGGTGTGAGTCCCCTGCCCTTTTTCGCATTCGAATTGTTGGTTCTCCGTCTTCCTGGCGATGTCTGACAATCTTGAGCGGCGTCAGCGAAATTACCGAGGCTCGTTACACTGCAAAACTTTGCGTGAATAATGTGACATATGGCAATTCATTCTGCGTGGACGCCGCAGATTGTACGCTAAAGCCTGATTCGCATGATGAGATTTCGCTCCAAATTTTGAGTCGGCGACGCCGCTCGGGCTGCAAAAACGTGAACTGTAGCTGAAATGGTCGACGACGATACTGAATCGCAAGCAGAATCGGACCAACTGAATTAGGCATAACAACAAGTCGGTGTTGGTCACTGGTAACAATGACCAACATCTCCTTGTATCTACTGTTTACATCGAGCCTGCTTACCAACCTTCAAATTTGAGTCTTTTGAGGCCTGCACTCACTTCTTATCGTAAGTACCGGGCCAACATTTGGTCTACGGACCGGCGTCGTCTAAGAGAGCAGACGACAAGCAGAAACGTTTGAAAGAGCAGACGACAATTCAAACAATCGGGCAGCCGTTTGAACTTGAAGACGCACTGAACGTAGTCCACAGGTGGTCCGCACAACTTGACAGTTTTCTGGCGTTCATGTTGGAACAAAACAAATAAATCTGATGACCAAAAGTATCCGTGAATTCAATCCAAAGTGCTTCCCGCTCAAGCAATCGTTGTCCGACGGCGTCTGCTTTTCCCTTTTCATGGCACATACTATAAAACCCTTTATTTTCGCGGCCCCCATTTTTCGCGAATCGGTCACAGATGACATAATCGCGACCACTAAATTTCGCAAATTCCGGACGCCTGCATTGAAAATCTTAAGGACCGAATTATTTGCGCGCCCTTAAATTTCGCGAATTCTTCAATTCGGGAAATTCGCGAAAATTGAGGGCTCGCGAACATTAAGGGTTTTACAGTATCCAGATTCTCGGACGAACCGAGCACGTGAAAACTGACCTTCAAACCTTTCTCGACACTTTTGGTTCGGCCCCAGTCGCGGCGTTTTGACGAGAAGGCAGGTTTTTGTCTGGTTCCTTTAAAAAAACACAGGAATACACGTCTGGCATGGGGACTTCTGCCCACAGCCCCAGACCGGAAGTGCGACCGACGCGCCACCACCGCGCCGTGACGTCACAGAGATGAGTTTGTGTATGAGCCTTTTCATCCTCCTCCGCATGGGCGCTGCCATCTTGGAATCACGTGACGCGGCAGCCATTGGGTTGCTTCAAGTTGCTGCTCCGCTCTCCCCTCCGCGCCTTGGGGGATGCGTTGTATTGGTTGTAATCGTGTTTTTTGTCGCGTTTCACTGCGCGTTCTTGCCTTAATTCGGAAACTGTAGCCCGATATGTCTATTCGCCGACTAAGACATCACGAGGGTTCAAAGGTCCTTATGACAACTGAGGTTTGTTTACTAATAGTGGTGGAACATTCTCAGTAAGAAGCGTGTATATTTATATCGTGCATTTAGGATCGGAAGACGTTAAGAATAGTCAGCGCAAGGAGACTTTCTGTATTTCATAAAAGTATCGTTCTTTGTATTTATAATATATTAAAATCTGTTTATTTTGATTATCTGAGGAAACTCGCGGAGGAGATAGACAACGAACGCTTAACTTGTATATTATCTGAGGCTAGAAGTACTGCTACGTCAACATCAGGCAATTCGTTTGTTCATAATAAACAATACCACACCTACATATGTGTATGAGGTTCTTCATCTTTTCTTTTGCGACGTAGTCGTTCGGTTGGTCGGTTTACTTATGAAGTTCAAGATTCCCATTTCGACAGTCATTTAAGTTATTTATTGATTATATTTAGATAACCAGTTGGGACTTCCCGCGTAAGAAACTGCCACGACAACAGTAGCGAGTTTTTGAATAGCGTGCACAAAGAAATAACGTCGTTTCTATTTGCTAATCCAAAGCGCGGTTTGGGTTCGGAATGTGCGCAATATTGACGACGCTTTTTTTTTTTTTTTTTTTTTGCGTACGCTGTTTTAATTTTTGACAGTATCTAAAATCCGCAATATTTAACGCCGAAAAAAAAAAAAGCCGTTTGCATAACAATTACTTGAGTCCAGAATTGTCGATGGCGAATAGAGCTTTACTTTTGGCGGCTGGCGACGTCGAAATTTACAGAGCAAATCTGTTGAAACAAAGAAATATTTGTTCACACAGGTCTATGAAGTGTTGCCTAGCGCTAGAATTCAGCCAAACTTTCCGAGGTGTTTCTCCTCCTGCAGCCTTTAATTTTATTTGGCCAATTTTACGGAAGACAAATGTCAGATTTAATTTGACGGGCCTGTCACTTATATCATATCCTGAGTAAGCAAATGTTCATATAAAAATAATTTACTTCCAAGGATCAATATCGCGAAATACTGCTTATGAGTACTTTAGCAGGGTTAATAATATAAGAAATTTCCTACTCGGCCTGTCAAAACATGCTGAAGTACTGAATTTAAAAAAAACTGAGACGATACTACTTGTTTATATCAAATATCTGCGTCATTACACGATACGTTTTTAGTTTGCAAAGTTCACTAAAGGTTGGGTGCCACAAAAACCAAACAGTGAGTAGTAAACTCGCGAGTTCATCTGTTCTGGCTGATTCGGCTCGTTGCTAATCAAGCTGTCGATAAGCTTCTTTATATTCACGTATTAGTTTCTTCATTAGTTTGTTTTTCTGGAAACTGGTGGTCATCGGGCACGGGCGAAGACGATGGTAATCTTCCCTGTACATCAGTGTCAGGCGTTTCGCAACCGGTCATAATCAGATACATCAAAACAGTTGGTAAAAAAAAAAACCGCAATTTAGGCTCATATACACCTCGTCGTCCTCAAAATGGCTCAATACCAATGTTTCATTGGTTGTGTGCTACAAGGAAAATAATCGTATCAGCAAATTACGCAAAAAGAAAGTAAAACAGCAACATAGCCGCGTTCACGTTGAAACCGAAACCAACCAACTTGAAGCAACCTAATGGCGCCGAGTGCATCAGCGCCCTCTATTCGCCGGTGGAGCAACTACTAAAATGAAAAGGTCTATATGCTTAACCGCCTCTACAGTGGTCAGGGAATTTCACCTTAAATTGTCAGTGAAAACCTGGAAAAGTCAGGGAAAAGTCAGGCATATTTTAAAGAGAGCTTGTATTTCACACAAAACCGAGGCCAAGGAACGGACGTGTCTGCATATTCCACACTAAATGAGCCATTTTTCCGAAGACCTTGAAGGCTTTGGAGATTATCACTGCGGAGATAATCCTTGAAGAACAGCCCACGTTGCCAGCCGTTGGACGTTCTCTCTCTTCGTTCGTTTTCCGTGAAGGGCGAGCAGGCTACGAGCCCTGATATTCTCTGGTTCTCACAGTGGAATATAACACAAAAAATGTAAGCATCTTGATTGGCAAGTAAAGTAAAAACTTTCAAAAAAGGATGGCAAACTTTCAGCGTTCAATGAAGGTGGAGAGCCGTCTTACTGGGTTTCCACAGCGCGGGGGGGTGACCGGAGTTCCCGGCCAATAGGGGGGTTGTAGGAGTCGCAAGATGGCGCCGTCCGAAGAGCTCTTTTCGGAAAGGTCTATACGCAATACTAAAACTCGAGAAAGGTTGAATCCCATTCTCGCTGCAGCACTATACTGGGAGAATGCATTGAATTCAGAAGTGACTGTTTGGTAAACCATGATCGTGCGCAGTTCTGCCATGTGCGCTGAGCAGGAGAACTGGGTGACCCTCAATAGAGCGTTTCCCCATTTCCGCCGCAAGAGGGCAAGCAACGAGCTCGAGACGCGAATAGTGAGCTGTTGAGTTGCCCAGGTTGCTGTCATTGTGACGAGAAAGATATTGCGCTTTTCGACCTTATTGTTGCAGACCTCGTGCTTACATCAGCTGCCTCGGAAAAACCAGGCCACGCAGCATGGACAACTCGAGGCTCCGGTTCAGTCTGTGACCCTTCTGGTAAGTTGCTGTCATTGTGCCTAGAAATTATTGAGCTGTTGCAACATAGTATGCGTTGCATGCAATAAATGGGTGAACACAACATATTTCTCCAGTGCGTGTCGATGTCCCAAAATAATTGCTACAGCATTTCTATTCCTTTAAATCACTTGTGTTTGTCTTCCATTTTTGCCTTTGAACCTGAGCGACTCAGATTCTGCTTGCGATTACATTAACCATTCGATACATCATCTCACACTTATGAACTCGAGTAAAGGTGCAGAAATGCTAGGGTTTTTTTATGTTGTAAAACAGAACTGTCTCCACATTTCAAGAACAAACTTTTCCAAGCTGCCGCATGCGACTCCAAACAATAATGGGCAGGCCCGCTTAGACGCGTCTAGGCACACATTGCAGGCTCCCACTCTCATGGCGATGGGACAGCTGTCGAAAACGTTGGGCGAGGAGGATTTGCCTCGATAGAAAGGAGTAAATGGTGCAGGGGAGAAGGTTTGCGCTTTCTTTCAGTATAAAGGGACCTTAGGCCCCGGTTGGTTTCTGCAGGTGAGGTGGAAAAGAACTGCAGTTTTGCCTGTCTCGAAAATCGCCGTCATGATGTAGAATGATGATAATACATTCACTGCAAAGGTGCAAGCAAGCTGGACAAGATTTGGAGATTTGTGTTTGTCCTTTGTCCCCCTTGTTCCACTTCTTCAGGGTTTATTATAATCATAATGTAGAAATGTTTTTTTTTTTTTTATTTAAGGATGCAGTTGACAATTTTATCCAGTACAATAAGGTTTAGATCTTATTCAAGTAAATATGATATAGAAAATGAAAACTAATTTTACATCCTTACGCAGGCAGTGTGGCATACTTTTCCCGGTCGAGCGTAGCAGCAGCATTTTTGTGTGAATTTTCTCGCTACTGTTACCAAGTTTGTTCATTTCAGGATTTTATGATGAAGTGATGCCAGCATGTTTTGAATTGAATTGTCTACTGCCTCAAGTTTTGTGCACCATCGTAGCAGAAGCAGCTCGTACCATTCATCAGCTTGAACAGCCATGAAAGGGATGAACGTAGCTGCCATTCCAAAGGTAGAATAGACCCTTTCCGAATTCCAGTGCCATCTGGTGGCTGATATAAGAGTTTAATTTTCGCCACACCAATGGCGGTAATGAGCTTGTATTTTATGAGGCACCGTTGCTTTCGCAAGTCAGCGGCAGGCAGGGAAGTGTTTGCAGTTCCTTCTCAGTTGCTTTCAGTTTTGATGAAGACAAAGATATACGCAATAAGAGCGAAGCTCCAACCTCCACAGACGCCTCGATAAACTTCTGCACAGCAAAGGGCTTTAGAGGCGACGGTGTGTCCCCCACAGATTGTCTGAATCTCAGTTGGAAATGAACACTTGCAAAGCACTTGCATTTGATTCCTGCGTCACATCGTACCAACCCTGCTGTCACGCATAAGGCAGCAGACTAAGCGCCACTGCCACTGGGTTATTAGATGTGCGCGTGTAAGCGCTGATCGGTCGATTCAAAAGGGGCGGTGCTGGTGAGACGAGACAGGCAGTCGGGTGCTGGAACATGTCGAATCAACACATTCACCGAGCCTAATAAAGCGCTGCCCCCAAAGACTGGCTACCTCCTTCTCTGGGTTATACGGTGTCCAGTTCTATGAGCCACGGCTACCTCTAATGTTTTGGTGGCACCGCCTCGCGGGTGCCCTCCTTTGACGGAGCTGGTAGGATGCGAGCAGACGACGCGCTATGTCAAAGCACGGAGTGCTTGCTGTGTTGGTTCGCATCTGTGTCGATTAAAAATGTTTTATTGATTAAAGAAACGTGTACAAAGGTTTTGTGAGTTACATTTCTAATGAATCACAGTGCCCTGAAGTTGCTTTTTACATTAGAAAACCTTCAAACGTTTAAAAGCATGCCTGGAGCTTCACGTTACAGGTTGCATGGCGTACGGCAGGGCTATTCACAGCCCCTCTGATCCTTTTTTTTTTTATATCTATGGAGGTTGTTGTAGAAAAAAAAAGGTTTTGTATGCAGTAGAGCAAGTGGCGTGTTTTCTTCTTAGCTGTGCACGTGCACACAGTTGTGTTGCAAAGTGCCCGCATTCTTGTTTTAGCTACAGTGAGCCTGTCGATTTCGACGCTTCTGTTGAAGTCTGCATTGAATGCATGGTAAAGAAGTTTGTCAGATCACAACTCCTGCTCGAAAGAAAAGCAGAAATGTTCATAAATTCCTAAATTGTGGGATATGGCCCGGCAAATTCAGGCAATTGATCAATTTGTTTTATTGAATTTTTACTAAGAAATCTATTTTCATTATCCAGCTTTTTGCACTGGGTAGAGAACAGTGCACCACTGTCCCAGCGCTTCGACACCTAAGCACCAAAAGTGTTTTTGTTAGCACGACTATGCATGCCACGATTCCAAGCTTTGGTAAAATGTCTTACTACAAGTATCACTTAACCAAATAAACACAACCCGTGAAACAGGCTTTGCCGCACGTTACCTAAACAGCGCATCAAGCGAGCAGACGGATCCAAGATTTGCGCGGTCTGTTCGAGTCTGTCCTACCTGTGACATCACAAACAATGATGATGATAGCTGGAGAAGTGCCCTCTGTAATTTGCGCATGACAGATCCGATTTGAACAAAGTTATGGTATGGTGCAACTTGCGGTGCATGACTGTTATGCACCATGAATAGCAAATGTAAAGCTATCTCGACGTAACACCACCATTGTCATACTATATCTTGGTACCTCCCCCTTCAAGTACGTGACTTCCTACAAATATCTTGGTGTTTACATTATTTTTATTGTCATGTCAGACTAATTCTGATCATACAGTTGCTATTGCCAACTCTATCTCTATGCTCGGATATCTAAAACAAAATTTTACATTGGCCCCTATGTCTTTGAAATTGCTTCTATTTAAAACTCTAGTATGTTCTAACATGTAAAGCGCTGCATCAGATCTATGAAAGCTAACCTACCTCTTCCTCTCTTGCATTGCAAAATATCTCGTGAATGTCTTCATTAAATTTGTGACTCTAACCCTGCTCTAAAAGATAAGCTTCCTTCGTATATTTCCACTCACATTGACCATTAATATAAAAGTGGAATTCATCCCTGCCGCACAAATTCATCGGAATTCAACCCTGTCAGAAGAAGTGTTTTTAAAAAAAGACCGAGCTAGTGTTAATTGCTCATCTATTTAATGTGAATAGAATTCGCTTCCAGTGTCTCTTGTGAGTTACCGAAATGTATTTTGGAAATGCAAATTAGCAAGATTGTGAGAAATATATGCTTTAGAATGCCAGGTATTTTATTTTTCTCAAAAAGTATAATATAAAAATGCTAATTGTGTACATCACAACATTGGTGAGTATTGAGCAGTGTATTCGACTGTCTTCGACTACCAGCTTCGTTACGAGTGCGCAGCGCACACGCCGAAGGATGTTGGGGCCGAGGAATTGAGCAGCCCCAGGAATGCCTTGCCCGTCGAATACATTGATGCTAACAAACAATCCGTCGCCTGTGGTCCGCTTTCGGACAGTGAAGTCATGAACCTGGTTAGGCCTAAGAATGGTTGCGTCGCTCTCCGTGCCGTGTGAGGTTCACAGGGCAGTTTTCCTTCGGCAAAAGGCACGCCAAAAGCGCCCTAAAAAGGGTTTGTAAGTTATAGAGCATGGTTACTGTGGTGCGCCCACGACCAGCCGTCTGTGCGCCTCCGTCAGTGGAGACATGCCACAGTACCCTGTCATGCCGTACTGACACCTAAAATGACATTTTACGCCGTGCATGAATGGAAAAATTTGATCCCGCGTAATGAACGCACCTCCCAAATATATGTGAATTTTTAAGGGAAAAAAGTGTGTTCATCGTGGGACTAAGTACGGTAGATAACATGGTCGATCTCGCAAATACTACAAAACCTTCACTCGGTGCCAGGGATGGGCAAAATACATGCAAATATGTATCGAAATACAAATACAAAATACTTCGTCAAAAATGTATTTAATTACAAATATAATTACATTCACAAAAAAACATTTACATACAAGATACTAATACGACCAGATGTATTTGGTCTCCTCCAAATACTTTTCCAAATACATTCCTCAAAATTTGCGTCAGCGACTTCAAGGCACCTGCAACGGGTTTCTGGGTATCTCATTTTAATTTTGCATCGCACACTCGGGAGTTAGTGTGCGGGGCTCTAGTAACGTAATAGAAATATAATTAAAAAAATGTGATCAGCTTGGACGGAATAGGTGAAGAAAGTTAGAGCTTTAAGCAGCTTTTTTTGTCGATTACATTTTGGTATAGACCAACAAAGAACCGAGACGACCAAGACGCGCAGCACTAGCTAGAGAATTTTTTATTGTTTCAACTCGCACCAGTTACGAAAATCTGGACGACCCACGCATTTAGAATTTTCCAGGCAAAAATATGGATTGAAATCAGGCTGGAAAGCATCACAAGTTGTCACAGGTACTCATTTAGCTAGTCTGCGTGTGAACGTCGATTTCGTCACTATTCTTGCCCTGGACTAGCACCGTAATCACAAAGCCACTAAACGCGTGTGCTTGATTAAGAGACACTGCATTCGGTGCAGAACGTAGTTTTCTTTCTGCTCTGGAACGTGCCTTTAAAATAAAGCCGGAGGAGAAAAAGAAAAAAATCCTCATGGCCGAATAAATGAAGGAGGCTATATCTTACAACCACATGCAACAAAACAAGAATTGTCGTGATAATAAATTTGAGGGATGTATTTTCGCTCACAAAATTGTATTTAATTACAATTGTATTTGAAATACACACGTCAAATACATTACCTAATTTGTAATTAAATGCAAATGCAAAATATACAAAATATTTGAAATACATATTTCAAATACTTGTATTTGAAATACTGCCCATCCCTGCTCGGTGCAGTTCACGTAGATTTGGAAGTGTTGCAGAGCTACCTGGTGGATGGCACCAGTGTACCAGGGTGTTCTCTCCTCGTCGCTGGTTGCGACACAGTCGATGACGCTCAAGTGTGTGAACCAGCCTTTAATGTTGCTCTGTCCTCATGTTTGTGCTTCAAGCCCAGAGACATTTAGAAATTTATATCATTTGTGTTTATTTTGTCCTTGGAAAACAGCATCGGCCATTAACCATTCTAATAGGTTTCACGCACCTTTTTTGTCTCATCTATCTTTCCCATAATATAGGTTTAAACCTGGGCTCAGCTGTCATGGGGGCAGTATATTTTAGCAAACACTCTAAAAGCCTCTTTTGTTTTCTTAACACATCTCCCTCAACTTCCATCTCGTCATTCAATTTTGGGCAGGATTTCACTGTATTAAAGCAAAAGAAGATAATCTTACTTTATTCAAAATATCATTGTGCTTGCCTCGCATGTTTGGCTATGTGTTCAACATTTGCAGGGCATGTTAAACAAACTTCGAAGCCATGCCTTTTTTTTTTTAGTTTGCTGTTGTCGGGGAAAGCAATGTTTACTTATCTTGTAGGCCACCTCTTCTCTTTTGAGACCTGTACAACTGCTTCATAAACTTGCCTGTAAATGGAAGATTCTCATCAGTCATGTCACTGTCCAAGAGAAAATTTCTAACATAATTGCACCATCTCAGTAATGACTCTTCCAAGCCCATTGTCTGCTATCCCTGCAGTCCAGAAAGTCTTTTCTTGGCATTTGTTTCAATGTCATATCAAGTATAACTTCGGTAGCTTGCAGGTGATTGGAGACCCATGAAATGTTTGCCAATCACCAGTGCATTCGCCAAAGGGAAGTGTGCTTGTTTAATTGTTAGCAATATGAACAGTGACTTTGAGCTGAGGGACACAGATGAACACACTTCCTGATTAAACATATGCTCATTTGTGTCGTAGCCGCATCAGAGTAGCCGAAACTGTGTCTTGATGCACGTTTGCTGCACAAAAGTGTGTCAAGGGGTTTAATGCCTAGAAATTCACACGGATATACTAATTACTTCCTTAAAGCGTGCCTACCATTTATGGCCATATTTATTGTGAATGTTTTTTGTTTCCTTTCCTAACGCTCACGGGGATGTTTGTTGTGTAGGTAAAGGAGGGGCGTGCTCAAAGGAGATCAACTCTCTATCAGAACCCACAACAGGCATTCTCTTCAAATGCTGTTTCTGCACCCATGTTGCGGGGGATCAGCGTGGAATCCTCAGTCACCTGGTTGTCCATAGCAATCAACACCTCGAGCGCCAGCAGTGCCCAGCAGATTCCCCTTCCAAAGAGCAAGACATGAGATGCAACACTGAAATTGATGAGTCAGGAAGAACTTTTGAGTGTCATCTGTGTCCAGAAGCTTTTCAGGAAAATAGTCAACTGGTCAATCACATTGGAATGCACACATGTGAAAAACCTTTCAGATGTCAGGAGAGCTCCGAAACATTTTTTCTTAGTAGTTCCCTGGACTCTCACATCCAAGTCCACACAAGTAAAAAGTCTCACAAGTGCCAGGAGTTCTCTGAAGCATTTGCTCAAAGTGATACTTTGGCCATCCACATGCAAACCCACACTGGTAAATGTTCCCAAACCTTTGATATGCGTGCAGCTCTAAAGGCACACATTTGAAGGCACTCAGGCGAGAGACCTTTCAAATGCAAGTAATGTCCAAAAGCCTTTAGTAACCGTACGAACCTGAGGCGGCATGTTCAAACGCATACAGGTGCGATACCTTACAAATGCGATAAATGTTCCAAAACCTTCACTTCACATGGGAACCTGACACAGCACATTTGAAGCCACATGGGCAAAGTGTCTTTCACATGTAAACAATGTGCCAAAGCTTTTAGTGTGCGTGGGAACCTGATCTGCTACATGCAAACACATATGGAAGAGACCTTATATATGTGAGCACTGTTCCAATGCCTTTAAGGTGCGTAAGTACCTGGTGAGGCACATTCAAACGCATGAGGGGTCATAGAATCATATGTCCCACAACTCGTCTGCGTCAGCCGGCCTGAGCAGAGCGATGATTTGTCTGAAAAGAAAGACTGTCCGGTATAATGCGCCTCGTATATGAGAGCAGTCAGAGTTGTGCTCTGGTCGGCTACATACTAATGTGCAGGCGAAGGTTCCCCTGTGTTGACGGTTTGCAAGCGCTTCTTTACTGTACTGGTTGTCTAGGTTTGAATCGGTCCGATAAACCTTTCTGGGGTGTCAGCACAAATCCCTTTGGAAAAACTGGCTTCGTCTGACCTGTTTGATTTCAGTTGTAGCTAGTGCTCAGTGTTTTAGGGGCTAACTTTTTGTTTTTAGATTTGGGCGGTGTTTTTTGTGGGTTTTATATCCTCCCGGAGGTTCAATATTTTCCAGGGTTAAGTTAAGTGGGGCTTAGTTCAAAGAAAATGATCTGGATGAGCATCATACCAACGTGCGGTCGTGTATCACTACTGCGTGGTGCACGTTAAAGACCCCAGGCTAGCGGTTGTACTGCACTGGCTAAATTGCTCATCTACAGCATGTGACTCGTCGCAACTTTAATGGCTGACCAACTACACGCTGTATAAATATCCCCACAACCCCAAAGTTCAAAGAAAACGGGACACTGGCATAAGATTCCCTAACCTCATGGAACACACGAATGACCCGAGAAGGAAAGTAGATAAGGAATGTGATTCTTGAGTAAAGATTCATCCTCACAAACACTTGAGTGTGAGCTGTGTTTCGGGTCAACACAAAATACTCCCATATCGTCATGAACATAACGAGCGGAGCTCGATGCCTTTATAGGTGTATTAAGTTTTCATTAGGCAAAACATTTCTGAGCTTCCCAAAAAAATATAAAAACCGGTAGAGTTTGTGCAACCGGCAGCATCGAAATTCGGCGAGTGTTATTGGATTTTATCGGATTTATCCGAAAACGCAGGAGCCACATTGGCGATATATATCTGGGACCATTTTTTCCTCGTTTGTACTTGGGACCATTAGTTCAGGGACCATTTGTTCCGGGACCGTTTGTTCTGTTTCCCCCTCTGGAGTGGTGCAACTTGCACCAGCCTGAGTCTCCGCACCTCATTCTCGTAGCGCAGTTTGTGCATGCCATCCCAGCATCAAGTGCACCAACGGAGAGTAACTTCTCATTGGCCGGCATCGATTTAAGAGGTAAACCAGCCTGAATTCGTCCTTGTTCATGATATGGCGTGTATGCGAGTTTTCTTTTTCTTGACGGTTGGCACTGAGTGTTTTTATGCATATGGTCCCAAGCATACAATTGAAGGTTTGTGTTGAAAACTGAAACCGATGGAAGGTGTTGCCATTATTGAATATTGTGATATTTTCCCTGTGGTGTACTCGCCTGCGGTAAGTGAGTGCCTTTCCTATTACTCTTTTTTTATTGTTTGGCCTAAATAAAATGACAAAATGTTATTAGTTCGTTCTTTGTTCATTTTCATGTTTATAAAATATGCATCTGCTTGAAGTGTGTTTTACAAAGCAAAAAGGAAAATATTAAAATTTTATTCCTTTGAGCTCATACTCTGGGCAGTCTCAGTGTGGACTCCTAAGACAATCTCATGACTGCCATCATCTTTCCAGCGATGCGAAGTGTGTTTGGAAGGATCATTGCTTATTTTATAAATGCAATAAAATACTTTTACCATATTCTGACACGAAGAGTTTTTTGTACAAAGGTAACAAATGGGTTTAGGATTGTCTTCATTTTACATGTGTACTCTTCAATGTTGTCCCACACAAACACGCTGTTCCATTATAATAGAATACCATTCAAACTTTTTTTTGTGTGTTTGTGTGTGTGCATGTTTGATTTTATGATGTAAAATTAACATGCGAATTAAGGGTGGGATGCGGTTTGGACGCAAATACAAAGTCTGCGGATGCGGATATTTAAGAACATTGCAGACGCTGATATGAATTCTGCGGACCGAATGTGGATGATGTCTTATCTGCGCAGGGCTCTATTGATAAGCCTCTGCAGTTTCCAAACAGGCGGGTGCTGGGCCACACTTCTCCACTTGTTTGTAAACTCCTCTTGATGGCAAAAGTTTTCTATTGAAACCAAACATGGACGTAAAATTATGGAGCACAGTTACTCGCACTTAAGTTTTTTAGATTAAAACTTCATTTATTTTCACACACTCAACATGGCTTTCGTAAATACCGTATTTACTCGCAGAATGAACGCACTTTTTTTTCCGAAAAGTCGATGCAAAGCTGGGGGGGGGGGGGTGCGTTCATTACGCGAAGTAAAATTTTTGCGTCCGTATTTACTCACACAATGAACGGACCCTTCATCTTGAAAAATCGAAGTACCTTATCTCTTTACGGGCGGCGCCCAACCCCGTAACCAAACTAAGCTGTGCAAAAAAAAAAACTTTTTTACTTAGTTCCTTGGTTTTCTTTTTTTTTTTTGCCGCCTTTCGCAAGCTGTTTTGTTTGCTTAGGCGAGGGCTCTCCGCTTATCTTTCTTGTCTCCTTGCGGGCGGCCCGCGACGCACGACCCCCCGTAACCAAACCGCTGTGCAAAAAGAAAAAAGCTCTTGTTTTTTTCTCAGTTCCGTGGTTTTTTTTTTTTTTACCGCCTTTCGCAAGCTGTTTCGTTTGCATAGAGGGCTTCTCCGCTCTTACCTCCTTGCGCGCGGCGCGCGACCCCCCATAACCAAACTGCGCTGTGCAAAAGAAAAAAAAAAAGCTCCTGTTTTTTCTTGGTTCCGTGTTTTTTTTTTTTGCCACCTTTTTAAGCCGTTTTGTTCGCTTAGAGCGCTTCTCTTTCTTACCTCCTTGCGCGCGGCGGAGCGCGAACCCAAAGACCAGACTGCGCTGTGCAAAAAAAAACAAAAAAACTCCATGTTGTTTTTTTTCTTGCTTCCGTTGGATCTTTGCGAATTTTTTTAACGCGTTCTGCAAGGCGTTTTGTTCGCCCACGCTGCCCATGCATTCGCGACCTCGCTGCACCAGGATAGAAAAGTGCGTTCATTTCGCGCGCGTGGGGGGAGGGGGTCAAGATTTTGACATCCAAGTTGGGGGTGCGTTTATTACGCGAGTGAAAAAAAGTCGAAATTTCGATAGCCGACTTGGGAGGTGCGTTCATTACGCGAGTGCGTTCATTACGCGAGTGCGTTCATTATGCGAGTAAATACGGTATCTAGTGAAACTCAACTGATGTTCTTTACTAAAAGTTTACTTTCCATTCTTGATCGAGGATCCCAGTATAGTTTTTCACGATTTCTACAAAGAATTGGACAAGGTTTCCCATAAGCTGCTATTTCTCAAACTTGACAAGCTTTAACCTTGACCCCACTCTCTTATCCTGGATTGACTGTTTTCTACAGGGCGATTCAAGGAGACGCCAGGCTCTTTAAATCGACCGCAAAATTCGGTTTCTTAACCTATCGCGCTACGACTTCGTGCCCACAGATGGTGCATTTTTTTTTGTAAAATTTGCAGAGCGAACTTACCTGAGGAAAAAGTAAAGAAAGAAAAAGGCTTAGCTCCTATGGAACTGCAGCAATGCCACCGGTTTTCAGACAACATGGCGCAGTTTCGCACAGGAGACAAGAGATGGCGCAACGAACGCCACCAACGAACGGCACCGAGAGCCGGCGTTTTTAGCAGACAATCTTTTCGACTCAAAAGCGGTGCGCGTTCCGCAGGCGGCGATAGTCGCAGTAACAAAAACAGGCACGGTAACAACAAGGAAGTGCAGTTCCTTGTCTGCTAAAGACGCCGGCTCTCAGCGTCGTATTCTCGTTCATTAGCAGCAGTTGGCGTCGCGACCGCTTGTGCCATCTCTTGTCTCCTATGCGAAACGGCACCGTGTTGTTGGAAGACCGGTGGCGTCGCTGCATTTCCATAGGAGCTAAGCCTTTTTCTTTCTTTACTTTTTCCTTGGATAAGCTCGCTCTTTGCAAATTTTACAAAACAAAAATGCACCATCTGTGGGCAACGCTGCACAAAGTCGTAGCGCGATAGGTTCAGAAACCAAATTTTGCGGTCGATTTAAAGAGCCTGGTGTCTCCTTGAATCACTCTGTAGATCGGTCTCAGTTTGTCACTACTAATCCAGCTAATTCTAACCTCAGTCCTGTCTCCTAAGGTGCCTCACAAGGGTCTGTCTTGGTCCCAATACTATTCCTTATTTACCTAAATGATTCACCTCAGAAGCTCTCGCCCTGTTAGTATTTGTTTACGAACTGTGTCATATACAGGGTGTTTTCTCTAATAGTGACACTAATTTTCAAAAAACCCGTGAAGCTTGCTACATTTACGTGGCTTGTGCAGGTGAGTTATACGGCCAGGGAGATACATAGGGTGTCCCAGGTCACCAGGCTCGATCTAAAATGGATCGTAAAAATCGACAACTGCACGTAGCAATCTACACTTCTCGTCAAAGGTGTATTCACAGGTAGGTTTTTAGAGCGCAGCTCTTAGGCCGTCGTAACTGCGCGTTGTATTATGGTTAGGGTGACCAGACGTCCCGTATTGCCGGGGACCGTCCCGTTTTTGAGGTCCGCTTCTGCCGTTCCGTCTTTTTGTCCCAATAAAGAATCCTGTCCCGTTTTCGCAGGAGTGCATAGTTTCGAAACTGGCACCAAGTGGGTTGAAGCAAACTGAAACTATGCCTACTTGTTACAAGAATATTTTACAAAAATAACCGTATGTACTTAAAATATTTAATTAGAGAGTTAAATTTAGAACTTTTCTTGCCCAAAAACACTTTTTCTCTCTCGAAAATGCGTGTACAGAATTTTTTTCTTTTCTCGAGTTACTAGATATAGCACACATGTAGAACCTTGGTTGGCAACACAACACTATTACAGTGGCTTAAAGAGGGTAGTGTGGTTACTGCGCAGCCTTCACCATGCATCAAGAACGGCCGCTCCTTGGAAGACGGTGTAGGTCGCGCCTTGATCCGCAGCTCCGTTGGGTGCGTCGATCGGCCGGCCAGATAGAGGCACCCTAACACACTTCATAACTAATATAAATCCCTCAAAAACAATTATTTGTTTCCAGTGAACTTCCAACGACATGATTTGTGTTTGAAGGTGACTAAAAATGTGAAGCTAGCAGACGACAGTGTAGTCGACAGCTGCGAATTGGCCAGAGCTGGCCAGAGCCAAGCTGACCAAGCCGGAGCCACAGCCGGAAAGACGGTGCAGCAAGCGCCAGCGCCACCCTCGGCAGTCTTCCAACGCTGTGCCGCTTCTCCGGTTTCGTTCGTTACACTACCCCCTTTAAGCCTCTGTAATTTCATTCAACGCTCTCTGGGCGGCACCATTTTGTTCGACAGCAGCGCTCGACTTCGCTAGCAGACGACAAACCGGGAGGTTGCCATTCTCCATCTTTGGGTTGTACCGGCGGGCAGTACGGAACATCGAACTCTCGCTCGTGGCTGTCGTGAAGTGGTTCGCGTTCTTAGAATAGTTATGGCGACTCCAAAATCGGCCTATATCTCTGTTGCTCTATTTCGGTGAATGATCAGCTAGCATATTTTTTTCCGTTACTTAAATAGCAGTTGAGTCAGCCGGTAGTACTACCCTCAACTACTGCGTGTATTGCGGCAAGAGAGCACAATTTTATTTTTTATTTCAAACTTCCACTCATGATCGCTAAAGGCCTACATCAGTACGAACCTTGTATAGTAAATAAGGTACCGCAACCGCATTTACTCTTCACCGGAGAGACCAGCCAATCTGACACAGTCTTCCCTTTTTTTTTTATTTGCATACAGGTAACAGCGCAATTGGACCCTGTTACTCTTTATCTAGCCTAGTATTACACGATAACTGGCATACCAAAATCTGCGGATCTGCGCTTGAAATTTCCAAAATAATGCGATTTTAAACAGTTTGTACACCAGCCGGATGCTAGGTACAGTCCACTCAGCGGAGCAGACGACATACAGGTGAGAGGGGGAGGGCACTTTTTTCTCTAACGCCTCGCAAGTGGGCTCCTTTTCGTTTTCTGCGCATGAGAAAGGAAGTAGCGGTGACGTCAGAACGCCGAGCCCCGATTGGCTCATCGCGACCCCCTATCCGAGCGTCGTCTGCTCCTGTGCAATGTCGTCTGCTCGCAACGTCGTCTGCGTCTGTCTTACCTTTCCTGCGACTTTCGGAAGTCGAGCGAGCTCGACTTCGCCTTTCAGAGAGGGCAGACGAAATAACTCGAGCAATACATTGTTTTTGTCTAACAACTAGCAGACGCGCATCAAGGAGGGAAGTCAAAGGACTCACTGGCGAGGTGTCCAGAGGCGCCGAGGTTTGTTTGCTAAGAACCGAGAGTGAGCGTGTCAGTGTCCGCAAGTTCCCTCCCAAATACTTTTTCCCTCCTTTCGTGTGCGGCGAGACTCCCCACTCTTTAGCGGCGTCGGCGTGTTAGCGCAGTTAACGTCGTCTGCTTTACGTCTGCTAGTCAAAGCGATGGCTGCTTTACCTTTCCTGCGTCTGTCGGAGATTCACCGCTTTTTCACCGGCAAGAGTCACCGTTGCCTCGGAAAACAAGGAGATGAGAAGAGGAAGAGATTGACCTCTTAATCTAAAATTCAGGTCAGCGATCAAAGTATAAGACGGGAAGGGTTCAGAAGGGTCGCGCGGGCATATTTCATTCAGCACGCCAGCCGGTTGTGGGCAGACGGTCGCTGAGTCGGAGTGCCTGCTAGGCCTATCTGCCGAGCTCGCTTGGTGATTGTCGGTGGAATCGTGGCCGTTGGAGCTCTTCCCGGGTGTTTGTGGATCCAGCGTTCTTGTTCGTCGTGGTCTGTTTCAAGTACTTTTTACTTTTTTCTTGCTGCTTGAAGTCGGGACGCGTGAGAAGCGCACATAGAAAAATAAACGTCCGTTGGTCATTGCGACCGCGACACTGTCGACTATGCTGATTTGATCGTAAGAAGTGCGTAAGACAGCTTTGGAGCTGTCGTAGGATTTCGTCGTAACCAGAGGTCGGCATTTTAGGTCGCCCTCACTCACCCTCACCCTCACAGCCACACTCACCTAAGCCCCTCACTCACCCTCACAGCTACACTCACCTTTAGCCCCTCACCCTCAAAGTCACACTCACCTTCAGCCCTTCACTCACCCTCACTGAACCTCACCGCCCTCACGCCACTCACGGCCCTCACCGTTCTCACGGCCCTCACGCACTCGTAGCCCTCACACCACTCACCGCCCTCACGCCACTTACGGCCCTCACGCACTCGTAGCCCTCACGCACTGATAGCCCTCACGCCACTCACCGCCCTCACGCCCCTCGGTCACTCATGGCCCTTACGCCACTCACCGCCCTCACGTGCCTCACCACCCTTGCAGCCCTCACACCCCTCACGCACTGATGGCCCTCACGCCACTCAGGCCAGCTTCAGATGGGGCAATTTCGCCCAGAAACTTTACGTCGCAACACCAGCAACAAGGGCCGCCCGCGATCACACGCAGCAATTAATTGCTGCAATTTGCCATCGTCATAAAATTTTATTTTACTTGCACTATTTAGACATAATTACGCGTTATAAACGTGTTTTTATGCATTTAAATCTCATTAAGAATACTAATGCACCTTTCTGAAACAGTTTATTTCCAACAAAACGATCGATTTCAAACCAGAACCAAGTCTTTCGGTGTCATCATCACCGGCACGAGGTATCACGTGAAAATTTTGCGTCCCTAATTGGATGCAGCCGCTTCAAACGCATTCGAATTGCTCCGAGTTGCTTGCTCTCAGCGATCTCAGCAATTCGTGTCGATCTAGGGAAAGCTAGAGAACAACCCGCCATTAACACCAAAATTGCTGAGAAAGATGCTCGATCCGAAGGGGGCCTCACGCACTCACGGCCCTCACCACCTCATGCACTCACCGCCCTCACGCCTCTCATGCTACTCACTCGCCTCACGCACTCATGGCCCTCACACCCCTCACGCACTCACCGCCCTCACACCACTCACGCACTCATGGCCCTCACACCACTCACCGCCCTCACACTCATGGCCCTCATACCCCTTACCGCCCTCATGGCCCTCATTGGGCCCTCATTGCCCTCGCAGCCCTCACTCACCCTCACACTCATGAATTTTCCTGGTTCAGAAACTCACTCACCCTCACCTCACCTGTGAAGATGAGGGTGAGTGAGGGTGAGTGAGGGCCCTCGTGACTGAGGTTTGCCGAGGTATGGTCGTAACCTGCACAAAACTTACGAAAATTTTGTTTCGTGAATACGAATTTGTTCTCAAGTTTTGACTTACGCATTTTTTTGCCGTAAGATCATTTTGTGAACCTGGCCTCTGCACTTCCGAAAGTTGCAGGAAAGGTATGACAGATGCAGACGACGTTGCGAGCAGACGACACTCAGACAGGGGGTTGCGATCAGCCAATGAGGGCTCGGCGTTCTGACGTCACTGCTACCCCCTGCACAAGAAGCAGACGAACTTGCCCTCTGCATTACTCTCTCTGTTATGACCCTAATGGCACGGTCTATATTTACTAAAATATTAAGGTGGGCTAGTTGGATATGCATTTTCGAAATAAATAGCGTGAAGGTCAAGTAGAAACTGACGGCACAAGCGCCGTCAGTTTGTGCTTGGTCTATATTTAGTGCACCCCCCCTCCTCCCCTCCCGTTTTCTACCTAAAGGAATATGGTCACCCTAATTGTGGCGCATCATAATAGGATTTTCGTTTAAAAATATCAAAGGCACTACTGGGTTTCGCCAAAAGGCGAAACCCAGTAGTGCCTGCCGAAACGGCAGGCACTACTGGGCCTGCTCATCAACTACTGGGCATCACGTGGTACGGAGATGTCACTATGTCATCAACGAAAGCGGCCGACGGGACCCCATCATGCATTATTTTTTCTCTCGCGCTCACGCTCCCAACATTGAAAAGTAAAAAAAAAAAAAAAAATTCTTTCAGTAGTAAATGTTCCACGCAGTGTTGGTTGTGTCCACACAGCGGCGTTCACTGCGCTGTGTCGCCCTCTAGATTGGGCGGATTTTGGTGATCGTGGAGCTGCTTCGATTTCGTTGGCCGGTTTAATACATTTTTGGGCAGAATTGCGTCGTAATACTTTACGTGTGGGCTTTTCAGATGATACGACTTAGGACTGCATTGTTTACTCAACATTGAAACTGGACCGGAGTTTCCCTGTAAAGGGATACTTAAACGAAGTATCCCTTTAACAAATAGGCTGAATATGATCCACAATATTCGTAAATGACAATCGCACGTTTGCATTTTGAGCCTGATGGCTGTATTTTTCGTTATAAACAACCGACCCTAGCAAACACTTGGAAAGCAGCCAGCGGAGAGTATGTCACATCCGCTGCAATCATGACGTAGTTTGTCTCGGGACCTGACTACCGGACGTTGCGAGCTATCTTATAGTCAATCCCACTGTGTGGGCGTAACCCGTGATATGCTCTCTGCGCATCGCTGTGCCCCCTCTCCAGGGTCACGTGACATTCACACGGCCTTGGGTAAGCCCAGATGGCTTGTAGCATCCGCTGAAAGCAGCCGAGGCACACTAGCGATCGGGCCACCGCAAGTAATCCCAAAGCTGTCTTTGTACGAATTTTGAGTGACGGGTTAATCTTCCATAATCTTGTAGAGGGAGAAGAGCGACTTCTGGGACACACAAAAGAGAGTCTCAGGGAAAAAGGAGTTCCTCCTTCAGCTCTTCTCTCGTCTTGGCCGGACGCGAGACAGTTACCATCACTTTCTGTCAAGGTCCTAGACTGGCATTACAAACAAGGCGTTAGTGACACTCACCAGGTGCTCTTTGCTAATCATTTAATTCATTTTAAAATTCCTTTTCGTGCCTTTTGCAACAAGAAGTTAGTGTGTCTGATCTGATAATGCTTCATTCAGCACGAATAGACCAAAGAATAAGCGCCGAAATTTCGTTGTAGTATTCCTTTAAAGGGATACTACAACGAAATTTCGGCGCTTATTCTTTGGTCTATTCGTGCTGAATGAAGCATTATCAGATCAGACACACTAACTTCTTGTTAAAAAAGTCCAGAAAAATAATTATGCACTTCAAATGTGTAGACAAAATGGCCAGAACTTTATTATACGTGCTTTCACCGACGTATTTTCGTGCACCATTTTGTTGTTGCAAAACTGGGGTGTGCTGAAGGCAAGCATACCAAGCATTTTCTTTACCCCTCATATGCGTAGAGCATAGGGCTTATAAGTCTTGCAAGGTGGATCTCCTCAACAGGTTGCGATGTAATCCTTCAAATTAGTAATGTTGTTTGAAAAGCAAACTAACAAGAAAATGGTAAATTGACGTCATGTGAAAATACCCTATGTGGGTGTCACGTACAACCGGAAACGCGCACGAAATCAGGAGAGGTGAGACTCGCGGGTTAAATCAATAAACAAATGTATATTTACAAAGAGTAGAAGAAAGGGCTAAAGCGCGAAACACATGTATGACGAAACCGTCCGATTTGAAGTCCGATCAGGCAATACATTGGTCAGAGGCGAGGGTTTTCAACGCTCTCCGGTGCTACGAAAACCCTCGCCCCCAAGGTCATTCCGGCAGTCCGCACATCGGATCGGACGGTGTCGTCGTACATGTGTTTCGCGCTTAAATAGAAGATTCAGAGTTAAAAATAGATTAAATGAATTTAATAAAAAAATAATAAATACAGTTCTAGGCAGACAGTTCCAGACTCACGTCGCCATGGAGGTTGAGTAGGTGATTGCTGATGAACTTTGTTAAAACTTCAGCTGTGAGCCACTCCTGTTCCCGATGAACGTGCCCCAGGTAGTTTTCGAGGACACTGCAGGAGCCTGCCAGGCGCTGGGACGGGGCCATGCGTCGCGGTGTATTGACACCGCGACGCAAGTCTTGGCCACTACGACACGCAGCCGAAGTCGAACTGTCTCGTCCAGCAAAAGTCTCTTGCATACACTCGCAAACCTGCATCTCCCTCTCCTTCCTTGCCGTACGTCACACCTCGTTCACCTCGCCATACTCTTTCTTTCAGAGCGCAGCTATTAGGCGCCCGTTTCCGGCTTGAGCGGCGTCGGCGTAGTTGCGCTGTGCATTATGGGACGTTTCCCATGATGATGTCACGTGTGATGTCATTAAGGTCACCAGTGATGTCATAGATGTCACAGCGCGTTGCATTATGGGTAACTTTCCCCGCTAAATTTAACGGAAAAATTTCCTGGCTAAATTTAGCTTAAAATTTTCCCTGCTAAATTTAGCGGGAAAAACTCCCCGCTAAATTTAGCGGAAAACTTTCTCTGCTAAATTTAGGGGGAAAATTTTCCCCTAAATGGTGATCTTAAGAAAAGCTGTACCCGCTGGGAGTATGGTGGTACCTCCTACAACTGCCAGTGGAGGATCGGTCCAGGGATGTAGCATGTGTGCTGCAACAAGCGACTTTGCTATGAGAGTCAGCTTGGAACCCTGGTCTGGGAAAGCATCATAGTCTCCCATTCCAGTGATGGTGGCTAAAAAGAATGAGCATTGCTGCTTAGAGTCTTCAAGAGTCGCTGGCATGCTGTGAAAAGCTGGTGAAAATAACTTTGCAGGCATGACCCTAGCTGCCGACGACGATGCATGTGCTGACTCATCGGTGTATGTTGTACACTTCGAAGCGAGGTGTCCGAGGTGTTTGCATTTATAGCAGACCGCTTGGGACAAGTCTTGGCCACTACGAAACGCTGGGGCTCCATATTGCGACGTGATGGCTTGGTATTTGGCCTCTTGCAAGTCGGTGGGCAGGTCTGCGACCCGTAGACGTGAGGCTAGGGGTGATGGTGACGTCAAGCCAGAGCGCTGCGTAGAGTGAATAGGACGTTGAAATCCAGCCGATTTAGACGAATGATGTTGGTGATTGGGTTGGGCTGGAGTAGTCGAATGGCTTTCCTTGGCGTGTTGGGCGGACCTATCCAGGCTTGTGCATGTCGCAAGAAAGGCTTGGACGGTTGTTGGCCTATTGGCTGCCAATGCTGCGACGATATGTTGGTCCCGCATGCCTTGGAGTAGGTGTCGATCTTCTGCGGATCGCTCAGGGTTACCGGCCGCGGGCAGCGTTGGATGATCCTTAATTTGGCGAAGGCGTACTGATGAAGGGATTCACCAATCCCTTGAGCCACGTCCATGACCCGTTCCTGCCAGTGGATCAGGGTCCATTCTGTGATGAAGGTCTCTTTGAGGGCGTCTCTCCAAGCTGGCCACGTGTCGTATTGGCTTCCGAACGCGAGGTTCCAGTTTCGTGCTGTACTTTTCAACTTGCTTGCTGCGATGAGCCGGGTGGTGGCGTCATCCCATAAGGCAAGTTGCTGGACGCGTTGAAAGTCCTCAAGCCATTCTTTGACGTTTTGCTTTGGCGAGCCGTCAAAATGTGGGAGGGTCACGGACAGGTCTGGTAGCGTTGTAACTGTCGTGGAAGGACGAGGCAGCTGCTGCAACAAAACAGCAAGGTTTTGTAGCGTGATGGGGTCTAGTGCCAAAGAGCCAGCGGCAGGGGCCAACGCTTGGTCCAGGCTAGGTGAAGATTCGCGGCGCGCCTCGATGTCCGCGGCGAGTCGCTGGATGAGGTCTTCTTTTGTGCCGGAAGTGTCTAGCTCACGTGCAGCGAGCTCTTTTTTAATAAGCTTGACGCATGGAAACGACATAGTTCTTGCGTCCAGTTCATTCCAGACAATGCCGGGCATCGCTGTGTTGGGCAAGGCTTACCAAAGGGCTACGAAACGTTCCGCTCACCAGAAATTGCAGAAACGAAGTGCGTTCCTAGCGCTTTGCGAAGACGCGAAAGGCGGGAGTATGTCGTTCCAGAGCTTTCGGGTTTCTTGTCGAGAATGGTTGCAGGTGTTCATGACGGGGCATAGGCAGAACCAGGCAAATCAAGGCAAGGCTGGCGGTCGGGCTCTGGTAGGCTTTCACAGTTCAAGGTCGACTGCGCCAGATGTAAGATATGAAGGCTGAGTCTTCGAAAGAAATAAGGAAAGTATATTTACATTAAATACAGACGTTAAGTAGAAGGGCTAAAAGCAAGTTAGTGGTGGCTGGCTTGACTGGTTGAAAGCTTAACAGGCGTGAGACAGGCATCAGACTGGAACGCACGTGCCGTCCGGGCCGGGCACGAGGGTGGCTTCTTTCTCAACTGTCACTAGGCACGCTCACTTGAGGCGCGTCAAAGGCAGTAGAAAGAAGAAAAGGAGACGGAGGATACCACGCGCTCACAATAGCAATGAGGAAGCAATACACGCAAACGAAAAAATCCATAGTTTCCCGCGCACACCACGAGAGGTTTCGTAAGAGTACGGAACTAGAACGCGGCGCATGGGCCGCCACGCCGAGTACCTTGATTTCGTAGCTCGGAGGCGCCGAGCGCTCCTCCGGCAGCCAGCGGAATCTGCAGGAGGGTCAACACAAACGTAGGCATTTGGCATCTGCCCAGTGCTGCACTATGGCAGCACATGCTCAGAGGCACGCTACCTCGGGCCCAGCGTCCGCCGGTAGATGTTACACGCGCAGTCCGGATCACGCCGCTCCCGCGCCCTAGACGTGTTTAATGCCGAGTGTACAAGTGCATACCGAGAGAATGTACCTCATTAAACCACTTGATACCCAATGACGTTGGAAAGTACTTTGGTAATACTATTACACAAGCTTGCAAACGGTGCTTTCACTTGACGTATATGCACTTCAAAACCACTAAATGTCTGGACGTAGTCACTGGGGAGCATTAGTTTTCTTCCCATATTTACAAGTTTGAAGTACTGCTATGAGAAGTGCCGTGGCCATGTGGAGGTAATACAGAAACTTCTGGTGCCTCCCTCTCACCCTCCAACAAAATGTACAGGATCATGCCTCCTACATATGTAAGAGGCAAATATTGTACGTTCTAATCACGAAACTGAAATAGTGGCTATCAGAATCACAGCTGCGACTGGCCTCCGTTGAGACCTTTTGTCAACTGACCAATTGGTATGAAAGGAAATTTCTGTGGTGCCCTCTATTCAGGACAGCTGACTTTGTGCTCTCACCAGACCAAAAACAAGCTTGCCATCTTGTTTTTGGTCATCAGAACCTAAAAAAAACGAAGCCTATGCAAAGCGCAAGTTTGTCTGCTTCTTTTGCAGGGGTTGTGGTGACGTCAGAACGCCGAGCTCTGATTGGTTCTTTACGAAGGATAGTGGGTAGACCTCAAGGCAGCTTGCTTTGAGGTCTACCCCGTCCTTCAATCAGAGCCAATCAGAGTTCGGCGTCTTTCAGACGTCACCACAGCTCCTGCGCGAGGAAGAGGCGAGGAAAATTGACCTAATGCATAATTTCCTAAACGTTTTAAATTTATTAAAAAAAAAAAAAAAAAAATTACGGAAGGGACAATACCAGAACAAATGTGCGGATGAACATTGTGTGATTGTGCGGGAGAACATAATTCAGTTTGACGTCCTTTTCTGAGGATTTTAGATGTTGCGGCAGACCTTCCTTGCACGTGCGAGAAACATGTGGACTCGATATCCTCCAATAAAAAGAGAGAAAAAAAAAAAGCAACTTAAGGGTAGACACAGACGCTGTAAACGGTCTCCAAGCAAGTGTCGAACTGCAGGCGTTATTTCTAGCCCAATTACGTTCGGACTGCCAGTCTTTTAATTCATGCGGTCCGAGAAATATCGCGGAAAGCCGCGACACGGCTCTCCGTCAGCCCAATGGGCCGGTGGACGGCGTTCCGAGGTGGGTTTGTAGCGGCGAGCCGAAGTCCCGGCAGCGTGCAAGGCTTCAAGCGTCGCGTTTTCTTTTTCACTGCCTCTCGGCACAGTGCCGGAAGAAAGAGCGCTAATGAACGCGTGCTCCGCTTTGCATAAATCGATAACGAGCTCTCGTCAAAGGAGCTGCCGATTGGAGACGCCGTGGGACCAGTCATTCTCCGAGGCAATTAAACGGCTCGATCGTACGCACCGCCTTACAAGAAGCATTCATTTTGCTCCTTTTCGTCGAGCCCCGGCCGAGTCGAACCTCTTTCAATCCTGACTGGGAAGCCGACGGCCGCCGCGGACACGGGAGGAGGACTGCGTTGGTCGAACAAGTAAAGATCCAAAAGCGCGATGCCTTCCAGAAGTGGGCCAGCGCGGTTCGCCGGGATCGTGCGGAGAGTGAGCGCGGGCTAATGGTCGCACCCTGACGAAGCTTCTGGTCGCCGGAGGTCAGCGAACCGGCCGAAAAGGAAACCCACCGTCGAAGACCGCGGGCAGCGAGCCGTCCACCAGCGAAGCGCCCGGCTGGTCCCCCACCTCGGACCCCCTTCTCTCTTGTCGGCAAGCCTCCGGAAACGGAAACGGAGTGCTGCGAGTGTCGCCATTTCGTCGGTCCCTTCGTCGCTGAATGTTTTGTCAACAGTCCCGGAATCCGAAGGCCCCCAGCTTCTCCGGGTTCCAGCTCCGGGCCCAGCCGGCCTAGCAATGTGCTCCGTACTCGCTTCCAGGTGAGCGGCGGCGCACGGCGCCGCGGCTGATGGGGCCGGCGGCCCGACGGCGTAGGGTTAGGGGTGCCTGCCTCACAATGGGCATGGGGGACGACTGTTTCGCACCCAACCTTGGCCCCCAAAGGCCTGAGGACGGGACCCTGGGTGCCCCTGATGAACCCGGGGCCTCGGTGCCGTCCGGATCTCGTCCAACGGCACGCCGGGGCCCCGCCGAGGGGCGTCTTGTCAGTGCCGTCGGAGCTTTGGGTCGAATCGTGATGCGAGATAATCGTTCGCGTTCAGTGCCTGGCAAACGGCTCTGTGGACCCTACTTCCGCCCCGGGTAGGGCCCACTGGGGTCCCTCGAAGTCTGCCTCGACTCGGGCGTGATCGAAGAACCCGTAGGCACGCCGCTGCCTTCTGCAAAGCGTTTTTCGGAGGCTGCTTTTGTTTTGCATGTTTATTACTTCGGCTTTGTGAAAGCCGAGAGGACGACGAGAATCGCGCCGCTGTGCCGCTCGGCACTGGCTGCACGAACGAGATGTCAGCGCGTTTGTGGGCTGCCGATTGCGCGAGCAGTGACGCGGCTCGATCCTGGGGAGCCGACGAAATAGGGTCTCACCGCCCTGCCCTGTTGCAGACGCCGAGGATGGCGCTGACGGGGCATGGACATCAAGGAGCTGGTGCGGTCGCTGTCGGATCCTCACTCGGAGAACATGAAGGCTTGGACCGGGGGCCTGGGACAGCTGGAGAGTAAGTTCTGTTTCTTTTCCAAATTTGCGTCCCCCTCCCTTGGCCCAAGTAGCTTTCCACAGTTAAAGTGGCACACCCTCTCTGGAGGGTCCCTGAGAACTTCTAAAGACAACTGTGGTGGGTGATAGGTTAAGAGCCTACAAGATGCTTAGCCCCCAGCACGTAATCCTTGCCTTCCGCTGGGCTTTTTCAGCGCTTGTGACAGAGTGTTGTCAATGTCAGAAAGCTAGTGCTCGAGGCGGATCGTCTGTTCCTAAAAGGGATACAGAACCAATAATTTGGGTGGAAATTGTCGTTTGTAATGACATTTATGGCACACCCATTAGTTTTAAGTTACGTTGTCTTAAGCGAGATTGTGCCCAAAATTCATTAAATCAAATATAAATATGGTACACAACCCCTGGTGCGTGTTTTTGGTAGCTCGCTTTGTGATGTCGCACTACTTGCCCGGCCAGGTAGGCGTTCTCGGGCAGGCGCTCTGCCTGGTTTAGGCTAGGTGGCACGAGCTGCCACCCGTTACAGACGGCATAGCTGCTAGTAACCCATCCATCCAGTATTTGGCAACCTCGGTCCGTTCCATGCTCGTCAGGCATGCTCGTACCTGCTTGCACCTCGGTTGTGCTATGGCGACATGCGGCAGCAGCAGCAGCGGCAGCGAAGTGACATTTGATGAGGAGCGTGAGCGTGTACCGAGGAAGAGACCTAAAGTGCTGCCACACACCTGTGGCCCGTCCGCGTCGTCGGTGTCGTCGAACGAGTGCCTGACATGCTATGGCGATCTGATAAACAAGAACGAAAGAGAGGGCAAGTAAGAGTATGTCAGCTCCACCACGTCTACTTGCAGAAGGCCTCGTTTGCACTGTCTGCTTCCGGCCGACGGTTCGCCCGATCGGCGCAGTCAAAAAACTTTGTTTAAAAAAAAAAAAAAAATAATCTGGTCATTATCCATCTGTGTGAATCACATATTTAGGTACTTTACCGACCTGAGAAGCTTGCTCGGGCATTATTTTTGAAACTTCATATTTCGGTTCAGTCAGTATCCCTTGAACCTGTCACCAACTATAATCAGTGCCGTCTGCTGCCCTCACGCTGAGATATGAGTCTGCCATGATGTCTGTGGTGTTTTTGTGTCTGTAATGGTGTTGTCCCGTTGCTCCGTTACAACGCTACAACACTAGTGGCACTTTCGTCGGTGACACCGAGGAACCCCTTCCCTTTGCAGGGCTTCTTGAGAACACGTGCGGCGGCCGAGGCCCCGAGTCTGCGGGCTCGGACATGTTCCCGGGCTTCCCAAGCACCAGTTCGTCCCAGGCTGTGCCGAGCCCCGCCCCGCTGAACCCAGGTGGCCAGAACCCCAACCCCTGGTTCCACCAGTCGCCTTTTTCCATGGGCGGAGACATGCACCCCCCCGCCCCCTCCTCGGGCTCCCCCTACTGGCTGCCGCACCCACAGTACCCGGCGGCCACCAGCGAGCCCCACCAGCCCCGCTACCAG